TTTGCGGCGGGGTGATATAGCGGGTGCAGACACGTCTTCAGGGCCAGAGGGCTGAGACTCGTCGCCGGCGTCTGCTCTTCTTCTACTCCCCAGCCTCCTGAGCAGATTCTGTCGCGCTGCCGAGCGGTCTCCCCCAGCTGCAGCGGGTGAGCCTCCGACTGTGTTAGACCTGAAGAGGGCATTGGGCGGCGGAGTGGTCGTGGGGGATACCGGTGTATTATTCGCGCCGGGTGTTTGTAGCTTTGACAACATGAGCTGTGCAGCGGCGCTATTGCTTCTCTGCAGTCCCCGCACGAACACGTGCTGCGTGAGGTCCTGCAGCGTCGGTACACCGGGCGCAGGCGTCGAAGGGCTCGTGACCGGATACGGCGTCCCCGGCGACGAAATAGGGCCGGGCGGATAAAACATGCCCGGCTCGGGCGTCTGGGCGGCAAACGCCCTCTGCGCGGTCCAGAGCGCGAGCGGATTGGGAATGGGCGCGACGAAGACGGGGCTCGCGACGGGCGCGAAGAACGGCGACGCGGCCCGCATGTCGAACGAGGCGCCCTCGCCGTCGTCGGCCGAGCTGTCGGCCGCGGTGCCCGGCACGGGCGTCATCGCCGCCGCCCGCGCCTGGGCCGCCGCTTTCGCCTTGTAGTCGCGCGAGCCGCGGCCGCGGGAACGCGACCTGCGCCGCTTCTTCTTCTCGCTCGACGTCGTCGCGTCCTCCGGCCCGGGCGTCGCGGGCGGCGACAGCGCAGGCCCGTGCGTGCTCGTCGGTTCGGGCGCCTCCACTTCCGCTTCCACTTCTACTTCGACTTCCTGCTCGACGCTCGGCTCCTCCTCGGCTTCGGGCTCCGGTTCTGGTTCTGGCGGCGGCGTGTCCAATATATCGCTGTCGTCGGCTTCGGGCGGGTTCGGGGACGGGCGCTCGCCCTCGGACACGCCGGCGCCGGGGTGCATGGGCGGGCGACGGCCGTCTTTCATGCGCGGGAGGGACGCCGCCCGTTTCAGCCGCGCGACGGCAAACGCGCGCGTCGAGGCTGCGTTGGGACTCTGGGCCTCCATCAATCCATTCGCTGTCTTGTTTGCGTGATATTATAGTAGTAAGAGTCTAGGCAAAGATAGCAGCAAGAGAATATAGAGCAGGTGGTGGTGGTGGCGAGAGACAGTATAACGCCGTCCGCCGCAGCGACGCTTTCCCACAGTGACGCGTCGCGCCCTCTCCTCGCTCTCAGAAAACTGCCTTTGCCTTTTGCTTCCTCCTCTGATTCCGCTATACCCGGCGCGCGTGTTACACTGTGGCCCGTGGGCGTCTACCCGTACGCCTGCCAGCACACGCGAGGCTCGGCGTCTGTGAGGTGCACAGCCTGTGGATCTCTGGGTCCATCTCCATCAACAACGCTGGTTGTATGCGCCGACAACGCACCCATCGCTCTTCTACGTCCGCATCTTTGCGCCCTTCTAGCCCACACAAGGCCCTCCTAGCTGCGCGCTGGGCTATGCTTCCGTCCGCACGCGCTTGGCTCGTGCGCGCCTCGCTTCGCTTCCGTCTCGGAGCGGCGCGGGCGCCTATACCAGACGCCAGTGGATGTGCAAGAGCACACACCGTCAATCGGGCGTCGTTTGAAATCTTATCCCTAGCCTCAGTCAGAAGAATCCATGACTATACACACAAGCGCCTCGATTCATCTTCACTGTGTGCCATACCTCACTTTCCATCGCTTTATCAATCTCTCTCAGACTGTTCATGTACAGCGCATCCTCTGTGCAATGTATTTCTGACCCGTAGCCACGCATCAAAATAGGAACAACATTGATCAATCAAGAGACGGAGATGAGGTACTACTAGTAAGTAAGAAAATATACAAAGGCAAACTCTTGCAAGAACTCATTCAACGCCGAGCCGAGCGGTGGGTCTGATAGACTACGGGCCCATCGGGCAGTCGGAAAACGTTTCTCAAACAAGTTTCCCATTGAAGCGGACCCGGGAAGTTCACCTGCTCCTTCCTGTTCGATCCCTCGCGCACGCTAGTTACCACCCACCTCACATTCGTCGGTCCATAAGAGCCAACCGCCCTTTGTCGTACATCCCCCCAGAATTGTCCGAGGGCGAAGTCGATCGCCGAATTGGCCGTCTCGCTTGAATAGCGCAGCCTCCACACCGTCCCGTCCGACCATTGGATGGTGAGGATCGCGTGGCAGTAGCGAGAAGTACTCCTATCACCGTTGTTGTGGTCGTACTCTGCCACGATAGATGTGACCGAAATGTTCTGAGCCTGCTTGTGTATGATGAAGTCCAACAGCGTCTCCTTGTACCACCCGTAGAACAGCTGCAGCTCATGGTCGACGTTGAAGACGCCGCTAGCGTGTTCTTCGACGAGCGTCAGGTCCACGTTGCGAAGATAGGGTAGACCAAGTGACAGCTTGGGTACGATATACCGGAATGCTGACAGGCAATCATCCACCGTGAGGTTGACGAGATACGGTAGCTGCGTGGCGGGAAGGATGAAGTGTGGCCGACTGTGGTATCCGCGAGCGTTGCTGCAGACACCGTGGATTACAAGGTTGCCCAAAGGCTTCGAGGGATCTGGCACCGCGATCTCTCCAAGCGCGACTCTAATGTCGTCCCAAGTCCGCAGACCAGCCGAAGTCGTCACATTCGCTCCATAGAATCCGTTTTGGATGGGGTACCGGGCTTGTCTTCCGGACGAACAAGCAACGGCGTCGCCGTGCTTTCCGACTTGCATCAATCAGTCTTACTGTCGCTCCATACTCACTAAGAGGATCCCACAGCCACCAATCCGATCGAGAACCACGGCACAGTACAGGAACCAGAGTGCATCCTATAGTCGACATCAACGTCGAGCTCAACTACAGAATCGCCCGCGGCGCGTTGGGCAAGAAGGTTCACACGGTCCGCACCCGGAGTTCGGATCTGTTCGGATTACCGCGGCCGTTTCAACAAACTTGAGCTCGTACCACCACCCCTCCATCTCCTACGAGGCTCGAGCACAGTGAATGCTCAGACGGGATCTTCTAGCCGGAAGTGCACGGCCTGACTACTACATGCGTTCATCTTTATAACGGTGGCCGGCGTGATGTTCGCAGGCTGCCAGTGCCCCGTCGTCAAAGCTTGACCCGATACCACTACTGTGTATACAACTCTACTCTCTACAAGCATCGCGTATTCTTATACGGAAGCTCAGCTGAGAGTTTCTGCCCCTGCTGCTTCCCGTTCCTCGTTTACTGGCGAGCGGCGGTGCAGTGCTCGCAGGTTGGCACGCGACTGTGGGTACGGAGCACTGTATACGGAAAGCTTCGCACGATGCTTCTACCCCTCAGAATCAGACGCCCAAGGACGTCTTGTCTCCCTCGTCCATCAATATTTCTGGTCCTGAGCGGCCAAACCGGTACCTGGCACCGCAATGACCACAGATACCTCCCTCGACGTCGCTCTCGACCGTCTGACCATCGACGATGCGAACAACGAACGTCAAATTGAAGCTCGCCACAGCAAGACGGCACCCAGACCGTCTGAACCTGCGAAGCCTCTCAAGAGTAAGAGTCTACTCATGTTTGAACACGACTCGCGGATCGGTACGTGTTTGCGCTGTGTCATGTTGACACTCGCCACGACGTATCTTAACATCCATTCTCGCAGCGGCCAAATTTCTAAAAGAGGATGTCACAGAACGCCATTACGTTCTCAAAGACGCCAAGATCCCCAAAGCCTACGCCTGCGATAGGTGCTCTGTTGCGTGCACGCCTAGGAAGTGCGGGAAGGTGCGTGCTGGCCTTGCCGCATGATTAGCAAGACTGACCTATATACCTCCCAGTGTCAAAGGGCTATATATTGTAGCACCGAGGTACGGCTTATCTCCCATCAAATGACATATGGGCGCAAAATGACACTCATTTTTGGTGTAGTGCCAGAGAGCTTCTTGGTGAGAGAGTACTGCAACAGTGCAATATGAGGCGCTTATCCCATGCCTCGCTCCAGGCCCGAGCACAAGCAGATCTGCAAGAGCCTGGTCCAATCCATCTCCCCGACCGACCGCAACTTTGAAAAGGCAGCGCTTAAGCTTGCTACGCGAATGCTGGGCGATCACGACTTCACTGAGCAACTAACATCGATCATAGTCGCAGTCCTATCTCTCCATTACCATCCAGAACGCGGCCGCACGCATCAGGTCACATTCGACTGGGACCTTGTACCGCTCCGCACTTCAGAAGAGTACCGCCAGAACCGCCCTGCAAAAGAACGCATGAATGGACATGGGAAGCAGCGCTTCATGCTCCAATTAGTTCGCGTGGAGGCTGTAGCCTTCACCCAACATCCGCCCTCGGTACGCAAGACGATAGAGGCTTCTCGTGAGGGCCACATCAACCAGAACCGCGCCCGGCTACGTAGTCGAGGCGAGCCGGAGGATGCCATGGACGGTTGCCACCACATCCCGTTCTTCTTCCACTACAATAAGATAGACAAAGACCCCAGGTCTCCGATCTTCTTCACGACAATGAATCCAGGCATCGTGGCGTTGAAGTACGCGGCGGTTCTTAAGGATATGGTGAAGCTCTTCGGACTCTCCGGAAAAGAGCCGGATGAAAACGATCACCTTCGCTACGCGATCCGGTGAGTGCTCGAGCCATCACAAGACTATCTATCGTCCAGAAAAAACTGAACAGTTCTTTAAGGCTCCTCAACAGCGAGATCATAACCTCTCAAACAAGGCGCAACTTCCGCACAGTAAGGCTCTACCGCCTTGTGCGATGCGCCGCTGGCTGATGACTACATGTTACAGAGCATCAGCTTGGATGAAGCCGAGGACGATAATTGATCCGGCGCGACCTGTGGCGCTCGGGCTTGAGTCGATATTTGTCTGAGAGATATCGCGATCTACACCTCACCAAACGCGAAACAAACATATGATAGCAGGGGTTCAAGTTGTATGATAGGACGGACATGTTGCGAGCGCTTGTCAGGAATACAGGTGTCGACGTCATCAGGAATATTACCATCGACAGTGCAGCTCTACTTCGGGGGCTACACAGCTGTTTCCGGCGTGGCATAGTGGCCTGGCCCACCGTGAAGATCTGAGGGCCAAGAATAGCTCGTTGTGTACAAGAACGCCGGCGCATGAGTCCGGATAGCAAGTCTGCAATGCCATGGCAGCCAGATGACAGAAGTCGCAAGAACTATGTGCGTCCGAATCGGTAGACACTAAGCTCAGTGCCATGCTAGTCAAGTAGATGTAGTATGTTGCACTCTGTAGCCGACAACGGCGTTCAGCCGGACCACAGACCTCGCCCCGCGCTCGTTGAGCGAGTGGGTTCGCACGCTCCGGAGGCGGCCGAGGTAGGCTCGGATCGGGGCCGCGTTAACTGTGGGCGTCAAAGCTTGAGCCGGTACCACCATCCCTTCACCCCCTACCAATACCACATATGATCATACGGCTATGCTCAATTGGAAATGCATGTTCTACCTATCACCCGCTCTCTTCTTCGCGGGCGCCGGTGCGGCGTTCGCAGGCTGCCAGCACGCCACTGTGGGTACTGTGGACTGTATACAGAAGGCTTCGCGCGACGCTTCTACTCCCTCAGACGCCCAAAGACGTCTTATCTCCCTCTCTCACCGAGATCAGCGACTCTGAGCGCATTCCCCAGTGCCAGAATCCGCAATGACCACAGAGACCTCTCTCGATGTAGCTCTCGACCGGCTGAACATCGACGATGCGACCACTGGACGTCAAATCGAAGTTCGCGATGGCAAGCCGGCACCTGGAGCGCCTGGACCTGCGAAGCCCATCAAGAGCGACACCATAATCATGTTTGAGCACGACTCGCAGGATAGTACGTATATGCACTGTGTCATGCCCATAGTACTCGCCACAACACATCTTGACCTTTACCCTCTTAGTGGCCAAACATCTGAACCAGGAGGTCAGAGAACGGGACTACGTTCTCAAGGACATCAAGATGCCCAAAACCTATAACTGCGATAGATGCGCCGTTATATGCACCCCTAGGAGGTGCGGGAAGGTGCGTACTGGCGTTTTCGTGACCCTATGGCAAGGCTGACCTCTATGCCTCATAGTGCCAGAGGGCTGTATACTGTAGCTCTGAGGTGCGGCATATCATTATATGACGAATGTACAGGCATTGAACAGAATTTATCCCCCGTACAGTGCCAAAGAGCCGCCTGGTGAGCGAGCGCCACAATGGTTTAATGTGAGGTACTCATCTCATATCTCGCTCCAGGCCCAAGCATAAGGGGCTCTGCAAGAGTCTTGCCCATTCCATCTCTCCAACTGAACGTAACTTCGAAAAGGCCACACTCAAGCTTGCTACACGGATGCTGGGCGATCACGACTTTACTGAGCAGATAGCATCGATCATAGTCGCGGTCCTATCTCTCCACTACCACCCAGAACGCGGACGCACACATCGAGTCACGTTTGACTGGGACCTTGTACCACTTCGTACACCAGAAGAGTACCGCCAGAATCTCCCGGCAAAGGGACGCGTGGATGGACACGGGAAACAGCGTTTCATGCTCCAATTGGTTCGTGCGGAGGCTGAAGCCATCGCCGAACATTCACTAGTGGGACGCAAGCTGATAGAGAATCGCCGCGAGGACTACCTTAAGCAGAACCGTGCCAGGCTCCGCAGTCAAGGCGCACCGGAGGATGCTATGGACGACTGCCACCACATCCCGTTCTTCTTCCGCTACAGTAAGATCGATCGCGACCCCAGGGCTTCCATCTTCTTCACGACGATGAATCCGGGCATCGTGGCGTTCAAGTACGCGGCGGTTCTCGGGGATATGGTGAAGCTCATCGAATTATCTGGGAAAGAGGTGGATGAAAACGATTATATTCGCTACGCGGTTCGGTGAGTGCTCAAGCCATCGCGCCCTTGTCTACAAATTATCCAGCAGATGCTGAGCAGCCATTTCAGTCTCATGAACAGCCAGATAGTGACCTCTCAAATGGGGCGCAACTTCCGTACGGTACGCATCCAGCATGTCATTCAGTGAGCAGCTGGCTGATGACAGCTTTCAGAGCATCAGTCTGGATGAAGCCGCAGACGAAGACGATTGATCCGACCCTCGCGTGTGGCGCTCGGGCAAGACTCGGGAAGGTCTCGATTGGGTTGTGGGTATAGTTATCGTCAGCCTTCATACGAAAATGCGATACTATGTATATTTGTCGCGAGATGTATAGTAGTATTTATATGCTCTGAAGATTACGTACTTGCCAGCATCAGTGGGATCGGCACGACTTGCCAGCAGACTAGTCGTGCTGGGACCGGCAATCACCGAAGCTTTCGCAGGTCGTTTCGCCACACATGGCAGTTGCAGTGCGTCTTCGTGCATCCACTTCCTCGTCTGACCGTCACTTCTCTCTGTTGTAGATCTTGTGCTAGCTTGCCCCAGTACCACTCGAACTCTGTCTGCGCGTGAAAAATGGATCAACAATCTCTTGCCGCACTTTCTAGCCCCCCGTCCGTGCGAGCTCAAGAGACACACGGTCTGAATGCACCCGGCGGCTCGGGGGGAGACATGCAGATAGGTTCTGGCCCTGAAGCCCCCACAGCCAAGGAGGGAGTTCTATATATGCACGGGATGACAGAAGGTGTGTCAGACTACAGCCTATACATGCTTCAATACCGAAAGACGTTGCGTGGAGCGGCACGGCAGTTAAACGAGGAAGACGGGATTGGAAATTACGTGGTAAAGGATGTCAAGATTCCCAAGGTGTGGAATTGTGTGAAGTGCAATGTCGTATGCAATCCAAAGAAATGCGCAAAGGTATACGTCCCAGTTCACTGTGCTGTTCCAGATGCTCATATATTCGCGGGTCCGCTTTCAGTGCAAGCGAGTCGTCTACTGTAGCGCCGAAGTATGTCGCTGCATGAGACGTGCGCAATCACTTTATCTAACGTTTGGTAGTGTCAGAAGGCTCACTGGTAAGCGTGCACATGGCTTTGATGTCATCGACGTCAACGTTGGTTCAGGCCCGACCACAAGGTTACTTGTAAGGCGCTCGCTCGCTCGGATCGCCTTTTCGAGAAGGCAACGCTCAAACTCTCGACGCGCATGTCTGGCGATCGCGACTTCATGGAGCACATTGCCTCGATAGTCTGCGCCCTACTGTCTCTGCATGACAAGCCCGAGAATGGTCGCACGCAGTCCGTCAACTTCTATTGGGACCTTGTGCCTCTTAGAACACCAAGCGAGTACCGCCAAGACCGCCCTGCAAAAGAGCGCCTCAACAGCCGTGGAGAGCAACGCTACATGCTTGAACTAGTTCGATGCCAGGCCGAGCCCATTGCGAAACGCCCTTTGAGCGAGCGGCAGATCATCAAGCAGCGCATGGGTCCGTACATGCAGCAAATTCGGGCCATGCTCCGCAGGAACGGTGAACCTGAGGATGCGGCGGACAACGACTATCATGTGCCGATCTACTTCTACTATCACAAGCTCGACCAAGGTGGACAGGCTTCAATGCTTTTGACAATGATTACCCCCACAATCGCAGCGGCGAGGCGGAAAGCTGCGGTTCAAGATATGAACAAGCTTCGCTCCATGTCCGGGAAGGATGTGAGCGAGAAGGACTACATCCTCTACGTCACCCGGTGAGTGATAGCATACGGGAATCGTCTTGTAGGCGGCACACTCAGCGACTATCTAGCATCCTTAATAGCCAGATCGTGACTTCGCAAAGCGGCCGTAACTTTCGCACAGTATGTCTATCCCCTGTCCATCTAGCGAATAAACTCTTAGTTGATGGCATCCGGCGCAGAGCATCAGTCTGGACGAGGCAGAAGACGACAATGTAAACTAAAGTGGCGTACAGATACGCTCTTGGGTCCTTTGGTATCACGCGCAGTGCGTATCCTTATGATCGATACCATTCAGCAAAGGTTTCTTGTCACTTCCATAGTATTGGATACGGATCATCAGCGGCGATCACATGTGATCCCGATGATAGTGAATATATGGAGCGGATACAAGCAAGATTGCGATGTTCAGCTATGCTATCATACATGCGAATGGAATTGCAGACAATCAACGTGATGGTGTAGGTATTTCGCCCACTTCGTGCTTCCAAACCTGGAGGGTAAGGATAGCGTCCCAATGCACGCAACACCACTCAGATTCTTGTGGCGGGAAAGGCAGCGCTCCAGAGTCCGCACACGACGCCAGCCGATAGTCTGGCCTTCTCCATTGCCGTCTCTGTCCTCTATCGAGATCTTCCGCAAGTTTGGGAAGAGTGCTTGACCAGCGTCACTCGTAGTGCAGAGCGCACGCACAAGTGCAAATGCACTATCAAACCCGCCCTTCAAAGTCACCTCGCGCACAGCGCGAGCCTCTTGGAAGTTGTGAAGCCACCACTCCGGAGTAGCCCGGAGCTGCCAATGCGGGGAGGTTTCGTATATGATGCATTCGACGGAGGATAGCGGACGCTTGTAAGACGGCATGGAACGGGGATCGTCCCAGGTCGTCGCGTGGGTGTTGTGATCGACGAAGTACACTCGGCCATTCGGCTGTTTGCGTGCATCCCAGCCAGGTGGAAGGCAATTCATGACCTCGTAAAATAGGTCATCGCGCGGGTAATCCTCCAGTCCCAGTGTCATGGCCCCATCCCGAACGCCCTCGAGGTTAAGACGTGGTAGGGCACAAATAACCATATTGCGCTGTGATGGCACTTTACCAAAGGATGAAGGCGAGACAACGATGTGCAATGCATCGATGTCCCTCTGGTCCTGCAAGTATACCAGTACGTCACGCATTCGGGACGTGCGCATACGATACGCGCGACGATCGACCCTAGAGATCCGAAGTGATAGCTCGAGCCGTGGCACATTGACCAGGCCAAGCTGGCGGACGACATTGAAGAAGTCCATCTTGCGAAGTTCGTGATTGGACGTAATAGATATGCGCGTCAGAGACGGTGGAAGGTGCATGGGCGGCAGGTCGGGGTGATAGGCTTGTACGCGGAATAGGCCCGGAAAGGGTTTCGACAGAGATAGATCCCGTAGAAGAGGCGTCAGACGGAAGAGGTCCGCCAGCAATGGTCGATTGTGCCCAAGCGCTATGGGCGTGGGGTAGTTGTACTTCCGAATGCGATGGCAATCGACGACTAGCCTCTCCAGGCATGGGAAGGGCACGGCGTTGATCATTTCATGCCGTAGGAAGATCGTGCAATCCGTGAGCACCAGCTCGCGAAGAGCAGGAAAGCTGCACTCGTGTAAAGAGATATCAACCATGGCGGGTCGAGGGTATCTGTCCTGGTATGCCATGGTGCCGTCTTCTCTGTCATAGCCCCAGGGTCCTATACAATCAGGTGCCGCAAGCTTCAGAGAAGTGAGGGCGGAAGTAAAGGGAGAATCATGCGTGAAGGTAGAAATCGTGATATTGTTCGCGTCTGACCTGAGGTTCAAGTCCATATTCTGCACTGGAAGCTGGAGGTTCTCGAGTAGCTCGAATTGGCGAAATCCAAGGCTAGGTCGATTGATGCAGATGTCAAAGGGTTGAGCGCCAGCCCTCTCTACCATAAGGAGTGTAATGACCTCCGATGTGCGGCTGAAATCTATCCTGGTCCAAAGAAAAGGTAGGTTTAATGCAATCTGCGACTTTCATTAGTCATGTCATAGCCTATGGACATACAGTTAGACTGTACCTCTCTCCACCTATGGCAGACATGCGTGCAAGCTCGTATCCAGTGCATCGCCGTAGCACTGTCGTCTCGCCAATCCGGCTTGTGCAGGTCGCGAACCATTAGGAAGACATCCGCGAGGATCTCAGATGGGAGAAGGAAGGTGGACGTTGCTTCGTTGCGACGTCGGCGCACGAGTGATGCAAGGAGCGGCGTCAGCGCTTCGAGGGCGCATAGGTCCGCATCCACGAGATCGCCGAGATTTCCACCCGAATGCTCTAACGCGAGGGGAAGCTTGCGCAGCAGGATACTGATGGGCCCCAGCCAAGACGAGTGCGGAAGGTTCGTCAACTGGCGTAGCCACGACTCCGCGACTTCGTTGGCCTCTACTAATGCTGGCACGTCCCGGTCGCCGATGTCACCACTGGACGAGGTCTTGCTCATGGCTTCTCGTGTAATACGAAGCAGTGTCGTTGCTTGTCGTTGAGCAAGGCGTCAGAAGTGTGCGGGGTTCAATCCTGAATATTGAGAAGGTGCAGGGTACGTGGTGGTCGGGGAAGACGCTCGAGCTGCCAACAGGACATGATATGTTTATACTTGGTATCGGCGATCACCGACAAGGGTACCGGTGATCACCAAGGCCCCACGTCACGCTCCTGGAGACACTAGCTCTTGCCCCCGCCTCCGGCATTCATAAGGTAAATGACTCAGTCCATGGCTAAGCTATCTTCGAGCAGTAAGTTACCACGGCGAAGAATGATGCGTCTATATGTCTATATCCACATCGGTGGAGATTACTTACAACAACGTGCATATCACAGTCGCATCCAGGATCCGATAGCATGTATTCGTATTAACGATCAGCAGAACAAGTCATAGCATAACAATCAACGATTTCCTCTCATTATCCGAACCTAGATTACGTAGCGTCCTTGAACGCACCATACTCATCCTCGTCATCACTGCCCTTCGTAGTATTCGATGCAGATCTCCTCCTTGTCGGCCTGGTGCGGCTGGGGCTGAGTCCTGGCGGCACTACAGGCGCATCCTCCTCTTCATCGTCGGCAGTCTTGCCCATCAAGCTCACGCCTTCCTCTCCTGCATGCGTCTGTATCCGCGACGGCTCTGCGCGCGGCGTAGCCTCGCCCGCCTCAACTTCATGGTCGTCCTCCTCATCGCTCGCATTTCCAACGTCCCACACGACCTCCGTAGGCGCATCTTCGCGCAGACCACTGCGTTCACCATCCGTGCCGTCCTTAGCCTCGGCTTTGCGTGCAGATATCGGAGCCGCGCTCAACGGGATTCCTTGCGGTGCCGTAGGATTCTCCGGTTTCTTGTGCGTGAGAAGTACGACGCCGGATATGAGCACGAGGATGGAGACGAAGATGAGGAAGAGAGTCCAGGAGGCGAAGGCATCCGTCGCATTGTTGAAGATGAGTGAGTTGAGCCATCCTGTAGCCGTGTACACCCCATAGAACACAGGCACAACGAGTGTAGAGTCGTAGACCTTCAATCCGCGGTTCAGACAGATGATCTGGGATACGGCTGTTGTTGCGAGGAAGATGAAGGTAACGATAGGCGCGAAGTGGCCGATCTGGTTTCCCGCGTTCTCGTGAGTGACGGCACCGGAGATGACCTGGACACTAGAGCACGAGTTAGTCAAGTCCGGATTGCGGTTATGGATGAGACTACGTACGCTGCTTTGGCGAAGACCAGACACTCGCCGGCCATGCCTCCTCCCGCGCAGGCCCAACCGATGCCCAGCGTCCAAGCGAGCACCTTGTCGTCCTTCGCGGCCGTCCAGTGCTCAAGCTGTTCGGCGATCAAGACCATGATCCATCGTTTCCACGCCATAGCCTTCCCGAAGAAGCCGCCTGTTGATGGAATGGTCATACGGCCGCTCATACCCGCGAACGGTTGCGCGGACAGATCCGAGCGCGAGTTCAGCACCAGTTCAAGCTGAGACGCAAAGATGTAGACGGCTGTCAGAGCGAGCGACATGACGATGAAGTACGCTATCCAACCGCCGCGGCCCCACAATGTGGCGAGATGTTCGGCAGACGTCTCCGATGAGAGACCCGTGTTGATGCTGCCGAAAGCGACGATGCCGACAACACCGACAATAATAACCACGGTACCCTGAGGCTCGCATGTAAGCTTCTAGATAGTGGGTTGCATGGTGCCGCTTACATAGACGTCGGTCATCGTGACGGGTGTACCAATGAGAAAGCGGGCGAACAAGAAATTGAAGATGAGAGACGTCGAGCCTAGAGGGGCGACATACTCTACGGTACGCGTGAGCTGAGGCAGAGTACAGTGGTGTGTGCAGCATACCTGCGCGCATATAGCGCAACGCTAGTGTGGAACCCAATAGCTGCGAAAGACTGAATGCACGTTCAGGTAACGGTGGCTGTACGATGAGTGTGCACGTACATATATAGTATCATGCCCAATAGCCACAGAGGTCGCAGCCAGTCCCTTCTCCGTGCTGACTTGGGTATAGCGCTAGTCCGAACCTATACGTCGTGAGCAGCGTGCGCAAGTGGGTTATGAGTAGACGCACATGGTCCAGCTTGGTCAGATTCAGACCTGCAGCATTGAGGATAGAGGCTAATGTGACGATGGAAAGTCCAATGATGAAGGCGACAACGGGATTTGGCTTGTGGGATGCTACGGTTCCATCCTCTTGTCGTGAAACGAGCAGTTGTTGTAGAGACGGCATGAGTGGCGTTTAACGATGAGTTCAGCAGAGTGCAGAGGCGCGAGGTTCCAGATTAGTTCGAGGTCATGTACGAAGTCTAGGGCAACAAGTCCGGGGTATGGTCGTGGTTGGGAACAAGTCCGTTGCCAGTGCTCCGGCGGCACGGGCGGCGATGTCATCGCGCTCGTGTGCGCGCCGGCGCTAAGCGGCATCTTCTTCCTCGACCGCCATCATCAGACCGGCTGTGTCAGCCGGCCCTGCGTACATCGCACCATCTAGGCTCAGTTATACATATTGATTTTACTCCGACAAGACTTGACTTGTACAACTGTGACTGGAAACCTACTTGCAATAACCTTGATTTCATTACTGGTCTGCCCGAGGCTCGGGCTGACTTACCTTCTTGCTGGCTCATCACCTCGGCTTCTCTGTATCTCTTGTGGCTTCTTCGCATACCATTCATAACACTGTAGCCTGTCCGAACACGCATCCGCATCTCATAGTATCATGTCCCCTACCATACCCCATATTCAAGACCATACAACTACTGTACCTCAGAAAGATCAACTATCCGGCCTTCAGGCGCCCCCATACATTACCACTCATCCTCTGTTAAAGGCCCTTCCCGAGTCTACATTTCTACCCACCGAGCTCTTGGGAATCCTCAACCACACTTACTTCTTGCACTTACTTGTGACTGACCCGTCGAAGGTGAACCATAGAACTCAGCTAGAAGACCAGCTAACTCATGGATTTGCAGGTCGTTCCACCGGGCAAGTCACTCTTGTCTGTTCTAGGTAAACCACATGCTCAAACATGGGAACCTGGTCGATTGCATGATATTCAAACTCAAGTCGAAGATACAATTCGCCGCGCATTCTGGGACGCCGTGAGTGATCCGGAGCGCACATAATGTCACCTCGACTGATTGCAGATGCTTTCAGGCCTATGAATCTTTGTCCGCGTCCGACTCATCTACTCAACTTGCACGCATCAAGTTAATATACCATGATTTGCACGAAGCTTTGGAACCTCTACTCCCCAAGGAGCATACTATCCTCATACTGCTCTCGAGCCCGCTCGCTCCAACATCCGCGCCGCTCAGATCAGTACTTGCGGATATTCGCGACATCCTGCATGCTTTGAAACAGCGTTGTGCACCCATACGCGATGCATACATCGATAGTCTTCTCGAACGCATATCCAATGTACCTCCGCATCAGGACCCAGCGGACCTGGCACGGACAATCATCGACACCGTCAAAGATATCATGAAGCTCACCGAAGCCATGCGCGACGATCTATCCGAGTTTGTCCTAGGAACACTAGGCGAAGAGCAGTTGCGCCTCGCACTACGGGATGAGGCGAGAGGGCGTGAGCGGGCTGTCATCCTAGACCTATGGCGTGAACCTGGAGCAGTCGGCGCGCATGTCACCTCTTGGGTCTCTGAAATCGCACCGCCATACGCACAAGCCGAAGCCCCTCCGGATCGGCTTTGGATTGTGCGCCTGGTGCAAGCTTTGGCCGCCCCTACTCCCGTCGTCTGCCCTCTCCCCACCAAACCAGTACCGGGCACGGACGGTGAACCGCCACCCGAATTACCCAACCGACTACCGCCTCCCTTCTTCTTCTCGACCCCAGCACTCGAACACTTGCAGAACCTTCTGCAGGCCCTCGTCATTGCCGCCACATTACGCGCACTCGTTTCATCGGCGAGCTCGGGCGCTGACTTCATGTCCCGCGTATGGACGCTCTTGGAGTCTGCCATCGAGTCGGAAGCTCCCGGACCTGATGATACCAAACTTGCGAACCTCGCCGACGAGGTCTTGCGCGCGCGCGGACCTGATATCGACGCGGAAGAGGTAGCTCGACTACGCGCAGCCGTCGAACGCACACTACAAGTCCGTGATCCCGCCTTCGCGCTACTCCAGCGGCGCTTGCTAGTAGCGCTCGCCACGCGTCTGGCACAGGCGCCTCGGCCCGAACATACAGATGTCCCACGGGAGATGAGGGCCGGTCGGCATCGCCCAGGACGAAGCGCCGGCGTGAACACCGCGGCGCTTATGGACGAAGAGGCCCGTCGCGAATGGGACGGGTTTAGCGTGAAGGGATTCGAGGACGCTGAGCTTGTGAAGAGGGTGCGCGAGGTTGGGGCTCGGCTGAAGGCAGAGCTTAGTTGGCTGAGTAACGTCTGGCCAGACGAGCTGCGTTGATGTGCGATTGTGTGGCTTGAGGTCAATATACGAATCAGATACAGAAAGCAATTTATGAGACCGGTAACGAACAGGGCGATATCTCGCGTATCGCAAGGTGAAATCACGATGCCTTCAACTCCCGGCGCGTGCGCTGTTGTGGGCCGAGGCTCGACCGAGGCGCCACGAAAGGGCGACTACGTCATCGCGCCGAAGCACGGTCGCCTTAGCCGTGGCGTCTTCACCCACGGGCAAGCAACGGATGAGAAGCAACCAAATACATGCGTTGAGGCGTCTACCTCTCAGGCAGCACAGCCCTGTGAGAATCTCACCGCGTCGCCGTAAGTATTGCAGACATTGCGGTTCATTACCCATTCGAGGGATGACAGGAGGAAGGGATCGATATCCAAAGTTCGTGAAAATGTACAGGTTCGAGTTCGGTTCTGTAAGGTATACACTGATTAATGCCGTCGGGGATGCCAGTACATGACAGATGTCCATGGGGAGAACGAGGGGAGTGAGTTGCGAAGCGAAGCGAATAAACAGTGTTAGTCCGAGTGCCAATCCGTGTGCGAGTACGGGGTCTATTCCAATGGATTTGTCTTGCCAGCCTGCGCAGCGGGATGGGTGAGCCAAGAAGATGTCGAGGGAGAGAGAACAGCCTACCTGCTCCTCACCGCCGCGGTCCGGTCCTTCGCCACACCCACAGAGGATCTCATGCCACCACCGTACGGGCGGTGCATAGACGTCGGCTTCTGCGGCCACACGCTCGACGCTACTTGCGCGCGAGCCGTCGAGTGGTGATCGTGGGCCGGGAGCTTGATCGACGGGGGGCGGAGTTCGTGGTGGGGGCAGATTCAACGGCGCTGGTACCGGAGGACGTCCCTTGCCTTTGCCATCCGCAGCACCGTCTCCTTCACCATCCTGGCCCAACATCAGGGAATTGCTTGAAGCGAGTGCGGCAGCATCTGTGAATGGATTTGCCGTTGCCGGAGGTGAAAGTACTGGCGGCGAGAAGGGCGAGGCGCTCCGGGGTGTAGCAGCACCGTCGATGTCGTCTAGCGGTACGGCATCTGCCGCGCCGAGAGCGCGGTGTGCGTCTGGTCCGTGTGTGGATGGACGCTGTTGCGAGGGAGAGCGAAGGAGGGAGACGCGGCGAAGTACAGAGCCAACAATAGAAGTAGTGTCGCCCTTGTCTTTGTCTCTCGCCGCTCGTCGTTTGGCCCGTTCTGCGGCTTCCCAACGACGCAAATTCTGTCAATATGAATATTTAATATTGTGGAGCACAAGTCAGCCGCGAAGTGACACACCTCCTCGATTCGTCGTGCTTCTGCTGCTTCGTCCGTTGTAGGCGGGTACACGTCTACCGTAGCCGCACGTTTTATACGATCTGGAGCGTCGCCGTCCGCGTAGTCGTCTGGGTCTGGAAATGGACCGTCTGGCGGCATAGTTTCCGCGCGTTGCTTGCCCTTGCCCTTCGGGCTGAATGACGTCTGTTTGGGCGTGGGCGGCTCATCATCGCCATATGGGTCTGCAAGGTCTCTTTCTGTTCGTGTAGGCGAGGGAGGCAGAGAAGGCAGCGGGACGGGTTCTGAGGCTGACGCGGAGGGCATAGTTGGTGCGCGGAGTAGAGTTGCGGATTTGATCACCGCAACGGCATCTCACGCCGCACCCAATCCTTCGCACGTTTTGTGAATATATATTCCGGTGCGTTGGTCTTTAGTCAAAGAGTAGATGAAAGTCTTGAGGTGCCCTGACGATGTGCTAGCACGAGGTTAGGAGATGGCGAAGCGAGATAATGGTGCTACACCAGGTGTGATGGAATGCGCTGCGGAAGATATGTTCACCGACGGGCACCTTGTAGGTGTAAATGGGTTGCTGTGGGCTCGCCACAAGCGCTGATCGAGCCGAGCCTCTCGCTCTTCTTGCGTTCTTCCAACCGTCATGTTGTGCGCTCAGGCGCTATGCGTCCCCGCACTCTTTGCACCACCATTTGCGGCATCATCACCTGCCCGTATGAGAACCGGCCGATGATCGCTCTTCAGAGCCTGAACTTTGGAGTGGGCACTGACACCCTGTCACAGTCAGTACACTCTTCCAAACGCCATAACCCGAACCGTGCCAGCAGCGCTGTCTATTGCGACCGATACTTATAACGTGGCACCCCGTCTCTTGTGCGGGTGTGGCTATCAGGAAGCATGTCTCGTAAGAGCCAGAGATACGTGCCGTGATCTGCAGCTGCAGTCATGAGTTCCCTCTTGACGGCGGCCTGGAATCCAGAGATTTGCCTAACGTCTACGGAACTCACATAGATGAAGGCGACTTGAGTTATCCTGGTGATTGCCCTACGCCTCAGCCATTTCCAGATATCTGGCTTCATTCATGCACAGGCGCTACCACCAATGTCGCCAATGTCCCCTCGTGTAGATCGCGCGCTCGACCAGCACCTCTCAAACTCGATTACTGTTCGGAGGGCGCTCCGTCCCTACGCCGACAAGACATACCAACTTACCCTGGTCTTGCATCCTGCCCGATACTTGTTCCGACAGTTGCTTCTCCCGGGCACTAACCCGAATCCGGGTGCTTCTCTTGCGCTTTGGTTTAGCTTCACTCCGATCGCGGAGCTGCGCAGGTATCATGATATATCTACTGCTTACCTCTCTTCACAAGGGCCATCTCTATACATCTTTGCTATACTGACATGAGCTCGAAGATCCCTTGGACGTCTAGCGCCGGCACTTACCACGTCGATGCAGAGATCGAGATGTGAGACCGCATGACGGCGTCGCGCCCAGCCACAGCATGGTCACAATCTTGCGCCCCTGCACAACGTTTGAGAGAGAGTTCGATACTCTGTTCCGGCATACATAAGAGGCTCGGTACCATGGACGGACTTGCTCAGCATCGACGATGGGACTCGGCGCCGATCCCACCTACCCGTTATACCCAGTCCTAAGCCTCCTGGCATCCGTATTGCTTCTCCTTTTGCTATTCACGAGCCTCGTCAGGCAGCGATGGAACTTAGGCGTTGCCTTTCTTTGCTTCTGGCTCTTCCTAGAGAACTTGGTGCAGGGCGTTGATGCGATCGTCTGGGCTGATAACGCCGATATCAAGGCTTATGTCTATTGCGATATCGGTAAGTGTTACTCCTCCTGCCTCGAGATGGCCGTTAACTGACATGATTGGCATGAAGTGACGCATCTTCAGATGATCTGCACCATTGTCAGGCCTATGGCGTCCCTGATCATCACGCGCCGTCTGTACTTGATGTCGAGCTCAAGAGTCGAGATACTCACTCAGAAACTGGTACGGATTCAGGACAAAAACTCCTTCAGCAATTCTGAGTAACATGCTTATCAGGGCTATCGTGACCTTGCGATAGAATGGTTCTTAGGCCTGGGTATCCCTGTGATAGTTGCGGGACCGTTGTGTGAGTGACGAAGCTCACTGCTCTGGTTCTATGCACTGACGACTGTCTTTATCTCAAGACTACGTTTCACAGTCCGCTCGCTTCGTAGTAATCGAGAGTGTGGGGTGCATCAATGTCATGGTCGGCGCCGCACTGAGTCTTCTCCTGACCGCTTCGTGGGGGATCATCGTGCCTCTCGTCACAATTACTGTTTACTACCGTACGCCTTCATGCCTCTCCATCTATCAATCATCTGACTACCCTTCGACGTATAGCCAGAGTCCTTAGGACATTCTATCTCCACTACAAGGACGCCAATAGGTACACTCGCAGCGAAAGCACTGTATCGCGTACCAGTTACCTGCGCATCCTCATGCTCGCCAGCATCGACATCCTTCTGACCCTCCCCACAAACATCGTCTCTCTCGCGCTCGATCTATACTTCGCACATGTCGAAAGATCATTCCCGTTCTACCCGGGCTGGAGCGTTGTGCACTCAGATTGGAGCCCACAGAGTATCTCGTACTCGGAGCTGGAGTCGGGAGGGCAAGTCAGTGTGCGCCAGCTCTATGTTTCCCGCTGGACGCCGCCTGTGCTCTCACTCGTCATATTCGCACTCTTGGGAGCGACGGAGGACGCCAGGGCGTTGTATTTGCATGTACTTCGCACCGCGGGCCGGTACGTCGGGTGTGGATTAATTGGGTCTAGAAAGAGACACGGCGTTCGTTCTGCCCTCGACACCATCCAGTTCAGTCCTCCACCGGGGAGTACCACCGATACGGAAGCTGGGTAAGTGGATCCTTGATTGCGGACAATGATAGACTTAAGCATATCGCTAACATCATTCGAGAACATCTGGTGCCAGTGATAAGGAGTGGAAAGCCGACGACACTGTTATGTTCCCGCAGAGAAGCCTTGGAGGAGACACCGGAAGCAGCACGATTCGAACGAACTCGTCGGCATGAGGCGTGCAAGAACCTGATTCACTTGCGACGACGGATTTGCCAAGCCAGCTGCCTTGCGCAGCAGCAAAAGTTGCTAGCCCTGGGACGGGGGGCGATGGGAGATGGATCTTGAACAGCTTTGGTTACCATATGTAGGGATTTTATTGAGTGCAACTCGTAATGGCGAGGGTCCTGTAGTTTATGTACATGAAGTTAATGGCAAGGCTGTCGGGCATCTTTGAAAGAGGGCAGGAATATGATTGTCACTGTCTGCACAAGCCGGCTCATGGCGGTTGGAAGACAAGCGCTGCTCGCGATGGCCGCCATCACAGCGCGCGGGAACAGCCGACGGGCGCTTCGCGCCGTCCAAATCTGTGGGCTGCGCTTGTTGCCTCCTCCCAGCGACGATGCTGCCCACACTCCTTCCCCTCGCCCTCCTCGCCGCCTCCGCCGCCGGCCAGCTTTCCCACCCGCCGACATTCCTGCGCACAATTCAGAGGCGCGCCGACGGCGACACCTCCACCACGGACCCGGAGACGCCGAGCACGACGACGGATACGGACACGTGCGACCCATCCCACAATGGCCTCGCTACGGGCACCCTGCAGTACGTGAGCGACTGCAACGCCACCACGTACTGCAACTCGGACGGGACGTGCAAACCCAAGGGATGCCGCCGGGACGAGTTCCCGCTCGGCTACCCGCTCTCGGGCATCAAGGCGAACGGCTGGCCGCTCGAGGCGCCCGACAAGTGCGACAGCGGCAAGTTCTGCCCAGACGAGGGCACCTCCTGCCAGGATCAGCTAGCCGTCGGCAGCGCATGCCAGCTCGACCGCGATGGTGAGCGCCCATCGTTTCTTCGTTTATTTCCGATCAGAGCGCTCATACATCTAATGTAGACGAGTGTCAGCCCCCGGATAATGCAAACGAGCTCGAGGACAAGAATGGTTACGGCTTGAACGTCAACGGCGCGATCTGCCTCAACTTTGTCTGCCAATGGGCGAACGTGACTGCCGGCCAACAGTGCGAGGTGGAGAACGTGGGGTACATCACCTACGGCGCAAACAACTCCGAATATGTCGACATCGTCTCCCGGTACGTTGCGCTCCCTCGCATTATCCGTGAATCTATTTACCAATTTCCTGCACAGCGACAACTGCGTCGTTGACTCTTACTGCGATGCATCAGCTACTCCCCACGTCTGCGTCAAGCGCAAACTTCTGGACGCGACCTGCACAGCCGACAAGGAGTGCACTTCGTTCAACTGCGCGTCCGGCAAGTGCGGAGAAGCAGTAAACACTCCCAAGCACTACGGCACCTGGGTCTACATCGTCATCGGCGTCTGCATTTTCGGTGGTATCTTCGCCATCCTTGTGGCCCTCTTCTTCCTCCACCGTCGCGACCGTGACGCCGAGCGTGAGAAGCGTCTGCAGTACTGGCGCGAGCAGAACGCCTTCCGCCAGAACATCATGCAGATGCAAGAGTCCGCGCGCGCCAGCGTGTTTACGGCATCAAGTCGACGTGCGAGCGCCTATGGACTGCAGACGGAGGACAGCCAGGCGCCAATGCTCAAAGCCGAGCACAAGGGCTCCGGCTTGAGATATTACGTCGGCTCGGAGGACGCGCACGGGGAGAACGGCTCATACGGAGACGACACGGCCGAGAACGAGGGCCTCGTCATGCGCCAGCCCTACAACCCGGACCACAAGTCGCCGCAGCCGTTCTGAGCGTGGGGATGACAGGGTGACAGGACGATTGATCTTCGATGTTGCCCGCGGGCGGACGATACCTACACTGCGAGCGCCGATATACCTACTACTTAGACCCGTTCTTTACTATCCTTCATATTCACGTCTGCTGCTCGCGCTTTCGGTGTGTACCGTTTAATCTGTTGGCCTGGTTTGTTATGTGTAATACGGACATGGATTCGATTTCTTGCTTAAGCCGAGGAAAGCTGGGAGAGTACAGTCCATCCCATAATGCTTGCACAGACGTACAAGTTTTGCCTTCGGATGCTCCGCTATGCACTGATTTGAGGATTGCGCTAATCGTACAGAGACATCCTAGATTCTGCTGATGCATACAAATACACAGGTTCATTCCTACGCTAGACCGTCCAATTCATGTGTCCCGCTTGGACGACTCCTTCGCCAGACCAGCTCGCTCCTGCTCCTTCTTCTCGTCCGCCCACGCCTCGTCCCAACCAAGCGCGCTTCGGTCCCAGTTACCCTCCTGCTCGCCACCGCCCGGTCCAACCCAACCCATCACATCCAGCAATACTCCAGCAGCCCTCACGAATACCGACCCGTCGAGCGCCTCGCCACCGGGAATGGCTTTCGCGCCGCGCACCTCACCCGGGAGTGTCCCGCCGTAGAGCTGCGCGTACACGTAGAGCGAGCGGAATGCCTTGACCGTGTGACTATCCCGCGCAGGAAGGATGTGCGGGAGCATCGTCGCCCATGCGCCCACGTTGTCCGGGCTTGTCGGGTCGCCCAGCGCTCCGGGCATATCATGCTTCGGCGCGATACCCTTCGGCGGGGACGGCGTCGCGCTATACGACATGAGCAACCCCGCGTCGAACTTGGGGCTTCCGCGCGCGAGCAGGATCACGATCAGAGAGCCAAAGTACGAGGCTAGCAAGCGCGCTTTGGAGCCGGGGAGCTTCAGCGCGCCAAGCAGAGGCGGGAAGAAGAGCGACGAGGTCAGGACGTGCATGAGGAAGAAGTCGAGGCGTGGCTTGAGCCCATGGCGACCTGTACCCGCGAATGCGACCGTGGCAGCGAAGCAGAGCTCCTTGGCTTTCTCAACCAGCTCCGCCGCCGCGAGGTCGGGCGCGTTCTCTGAGAGCAAGCCGTGTTGCGCCGCGCCGGCGGATGGGACCCAGAGCTGGATGAGCGACCGGATCTTCACGAGGCGCTCTTCGGTGAGAGCGTCCTTGATGCGCTCGCCGAAAGTCTTGTCGGGGTCGTAGGGCATGACGGCGTCCATAGCACCCGAGCTGTACGCTTCGCCCAGAACCTCGAGAAGCGGGCGCGGGTGCGTGGGTGCCTCCGAGTGCTCATTGGGCACGTTCCATGGGAACAGCTCGGGGTAGAAGGGCGTGTGCACGGCTGCCATGGAGAGCGCTTGTGGGACCATCGCTGCGCTGTTGAACTCGAGCGCGTAGCCCATTTGGATGAGAGGGTGGATGGCTCCTGCGACGAAGCGCTCGGTCATGTATGCGCCGTTTGCATTGGCTTCTTTGGAGTAGATGTACTCTTCGAACGCCCCTTCTGGGCCCATCTCCTTCACTTGCTCCGAGAAGAACTGGAGGTAGTTGGCGTAGAAACTGTGAGTTGTGAGTTTGATGTAGCCGTCTCAACTTCGTAGATGCACGACTTACGCATGCTTGCCCAGGTAGTCCACCCAGTTATCCTTCGTGATCTTCACATCCTGCTTCTCGACCTCCCTCGTCTTCATGTTCTTCGTATAGATATCATACACCTCCGCCGCCTCATCATCGTAGATGGTCTGCAGAAGCGCCGGCGGCGCGCCCAAGTCATACGCAGCGAGAATATGGTGGCTGAGATGGTTGTGGAAAGGCACGGGCCCAAAGTAACAATGATGCTCTTCGCGGTCCTGCTCGAGCAGGCGTTCCGCGAGATCCGTAGACGCAGGCGTCGCGCCGGGTACAGTGAGCACGTCCTTCGCGATCTTGCGCGGGAGCATACCCTTCCACCTGTTCTGCGCAGCTGAGGAAGACATAGTTCGTGTGGTGTACGCGAGTGCCTGTGAGAGGAAGCGTGACATGCTCTACGGTTCTCAGACATGAGGGACTATATATGCGCGCGTATATTAGTGCGCGTCGCGTGACGTCATGCAATTTCGCGGTCAGCAGATGCAAAGATGTGCCCCTATCTCGCGCTGGTGACAAATGGGAGGTGCGCGGCGCGACGGCAGGGCGGGTCGTTCTCAAGACTGCAGACGTCCGAAGCATCCGAATGAGCAGAGATGCTTTACGCGCTTTCACATACTGAAGTGGATGGCTGACTGGATACATTGGACAGATGACTATAGACTACAGGATATCAGGCTCGTATATGGGTGCTGGAACTCTGCTTGAAGCCGAACCGCGACGGATGCTGCTGTTAGGGGTGCGATCGCCGACTTCGCTGTCGACGTGAGGTGCGGTTGTGTAGTGAGGTGCAGATGTGTAGAGTGGTTTGTCTTGATGTACGAGAGGTGATAGAGGGAGGGGCGTGAGGTTCGCTGCTGTGGACGTCTTGCCGCTGCTGAGCGCAAAGACTTCGTACGGTACGTCGCGGAGGGAGTAGAGGTGCCAGGCGCAGAAGACGGGCTTTGCGAGGATGTCCAAGACTGGATAATCGCATGAGTCTTTGTTGATGTGGCAAATATGATAATGGACGCGACGCACTGCCATAGAAGATCATCTCTCCCGATGGGTGAATGACATTGCCGCCTTCACTAAGGCCCCAAGCGATAGGATACAACATCCACACAAAGATGAGGAAGAGCGCGCCGCGCGTATACGCCCTTCCCGCCTCTTTTGAGATGAGGTATGCAGATTGACGCGCAGTGCCGATGAGTATGCCCCAGATGAAGAAGAAGCTCATGCAGCTGAAGACGAAGAACCCCCACTTGTAACCACTGGGGACAAGCGCCGCGACAAGACCGGTGATGACCATTACGAGGTCGAAGAAGATGACGGCGACGATCTCGCTGAGAGGCAGGCCTGTTCCCATGAGTAACTGCAACAGGAGCAGCGGAGTTGTAACAGTCCAATCGATGTATCGCGCTGCGTGGTATGAACAAGCATTCTTGCGGGACCAACCTCGATGGACGCACCATACCATACCGCACGCGTCAGGCCAGGACCTCTGAACTCAACGAGTACAGGCGTGCCGCCGAGATTTGAGGCAAGCGAGAAGTATGCGATTGTGGCGATAGTGATGACCAGGGTCGAGAGGTAGTGGAATGTGCGCGTTCCGATCGGACGCTGAAATCGTGTAAGGATCACGCAGCGTAGGATAGGCTATCAACGCACAGTGAACGCCCATACAGCGAACGCGAAGTTGCACACGAGCATGATCCCGAAGACGACCCATAGCCAGTTCGTCGCGCCCGGCGTCAGACCGATGTCAGCATGTCCTGGGTTCGAAGCGATGCTTGACCGCTCGACGATATTTGCTGTGCTCATAGTGTCCCACTAGGAGGCGTAGGGGAGGCAGGTCGATCGATATCACTCGCGGAGGGTCATAACACAGACACTAATATGGCATTGCTTGAAGGTCTCAGACGGCGCTTACATCAGTACCCTCGAATATGAGACATATGCCACCAGCACCTGCACATCTGCGACCCATCGAAGACGGGGTTGGCTGCTAGCACTATCAGGGGCATATGCGAAGCTCGTAGTGGACGTGAAGAGCAGGGACGACGAATCGTTGGGATATCGTAGACTCGGCTCTCGCTGCCAGTGCGTACGAATGGGCTGATAGTGTTCGGCCCCAGCGCCGAACGCCATCCCAAATCGCGGCCAAGCCGATCAAAAGCGTCCGACGGAAAGGGGTATCGGAGGTCTTATGGCCGGGCGCTGATGCCGTCCCCGCGCGCGCAGGTGTTCCAGCTATGCGTAGCTCGTGGAAGGTTTGCTCCAGTCTCGTTCCCCGCGGGAGCTTGAGCCATGACCGCTGGTGGAACCGCTCCTCGAAGTCACAGACATCTCGAACTCCTCGTTGGTGTTGGAGGCGGTGGTCGGAGAGAAGGACAGTCGACCCCGCAGAATGTCCAAACGCGAGCGCCCGCCGCTCCCACGGCGAGCACCGCGCGATTTCGTATTGGCGCCCCAAATACCGCCCTTGCCCAAGTTCAAGAACGACTGTCGAGCTTCATCGGACTCGTTGGTGGACGGGAAGGAATATGGTTCGGCTTCGTCGATGGATCCAGTGGTGTGATCGAGCTCGATGTTGGTCGTGAATTGGATATCCGTCGAAAGCGTCGGCGAATCCAGAGTTGAGATGTCGTGGGGATCGAGCTTCTGCATGTTCAAGAGGATGCGATAGCCCGCGAACGATTCAACCGATATGATCCAACTGTGGACCTGTGAGAGACCATACTAATGAGATAGGATGGCGAAGGCCTACGAGTATGCTACCGCTGCTGTAGACGAACCCTTGGCTGCCGTCAGGTAGAAGACGGCGTTGAAGACGAGGGTGACTGGGAATTCTGGTCAGGAACTGCACCTGTAACACGCACGAAAACACTCATGTACCGAAAATCAATACGAACGCCCATGTTCCATCGCGAACAATGACATTAAGAACGGGCGTGGTGCCCCAGCCATTATATAGCGTCTCGACCAACTTGTACACCGTGAGAAGGAAGAGCAGGACCTCGAACCCAATGTATGCGATTCTAGGAGGGAGTCAACATCTGATAGAGGCAAGACGAGATATAAAGACGCACGCGAAGTGCAACAGTTCAATCGGGCTGCTCGTCACAACACATGCGGAGTCAAACCCGACCTTTGGAACGGCTCTGGCCAGTGAGACGACCATGGCTACAACTTCCACCAGATACAGGAGGTACACGATTCCGGCGACGATGTTGTTCTGGTGATACAGCGCTTTGACTGCGGGATACATTGCGTTAGCTCTTTGTATTGACTGTACAAGTGAAAATGACGAACCTCGAATGACCAGAATAAACTCCACAGTGATTATGAGCATAGATACGGCCACTTCCTGGTATATGTACCAGATTACACAAGCCCTATGCGTGTAACCGAGATCGGCCGCAACCCGTGTGCCGACGAAAAGTAGGGAGCTGTGACGATAGCAGTCAGACGTGGTAGCAACGATCACACGTATGCACGTACATCTGGAGGACCAGCGCGAAGTATCTCACGAATAAGAACAGCCATTTGGCCCAGTAAGTACGAGGTTTCCTGAGCGTTCTCCGCGTCAATGTTTGAGTATACCAGAAGGCAAATAACACGACGTACGGCCAGATATAGCCAACCTCGTCCCCAATCGTAATGATTATATCCCATAACAGAAATACCGTAGCAGCGACTAATAGAGCGTTAGGCACCTCGTCCTAGCCGAGAGATCAAGTTGCATGCGCACCCGAGCTGTAATCTACGGTCAGGGCCCCGCGAACGTGCATCTCCGAGCTAGACATGGCCTAGGAGATCGCAGCGTTGCGGTGCCGCCACCGTGCGCAGCTCTTGGTCGCGATTGAGCAAGGCACCGACTGAGCTGGAGGAGGGGTGCCAAAAAGTGTGGCCGCACGATCGTTGCGGCACTATATACCGAGCAGACGCTTCTGCTTCCGGACCTGGACTGATCCACGCGTGCGCATGTAAGTCGGAGATTGTAATATGGGCCGGACAATGTTGATATCGGGTGATCGGAGAATGCGTCATGCACCTAAAGGGTTATGTGTACTCAAGTCGACAAGCTCTTCAGTGTACTTACAATACAACTTAGCGTCGAGTTAACTCCAGTCGACATGAAAGCGTACAATGTCTCACAATCGGCCCTCCGCGGATAGGATGCAGATCCAAGAGTTACGTCAGGGGCAAGGCGTGAACATAATGCCGACGAGGGGACGAGCCTTACAACCTTTTTTCGAGAAGGGCGGCTTTGCTGCAAGCTGGGCAAGCTAATCAAATGAGCCAGACGGAGTCCGTGATGGTCGGCACGACCGACTTCACGACGAGTGACCCGTGACGGAGGAGAGATAATATACAGGGACTGGCTATGTAGTAGCAAGACGAGGAGCGACGTACTTACACATTCCAACCGCCTTGCCTAGGACTGCTACTACCCCAGCCACCTCCGCTTGGGCTTGAAGAGCCCCATCCGCTAGTCGCGCCGCCACTTGAGCCAGCTCCCCATCCTGCAGCTGGACTGGTTGCGGCAGCGCCACCCCATCCTGCAGCGGGAGAGGTACTATTGCCGCCGGCACCAGATGCGCCCCATCCCGTACCCGGCGAACCCGATGTTGCCCCCCAGCCGCCCCCGGAAGTTGCGGGGCTTCCTCCCCACCCTGCGCCGCCTGTGGCAGGGCTCGTCGCTGCTCCTCCCCACGCGCCATTCGTCGCACCATCGACCCCTGTTGAACCGTCGCCACCCAGAGCTGCGCCGCTCCCTGCAAACCCATCTACGTCTGTTGGATCTGACTTTAGTCCGAGAATAAGGTTCGCAAGTTTCTGCTGTAGTTCTGCCAGGCCCTGCGTGTAAGGAGTGAGCATTCATATTTTCGGATCCGAATCATTGGCGGCGCACCTTCATCACAACCTCTTGCGGACCGAGGGAACCATCCGTCTCGACACAGAAGTAGTACTTATTTGGCTTCAAGTTGTAGTCGAACGGCTCATCGTCTCGCGGTGGCTCTTCCTCCTGCGCATTATGTGAAAGTGGCCACTCCTTCTTGATATCGTCTTCAAACCAGTAGGAGGTGTGGCGAAGGCGGTTGTGCGGGTCGTATTCGAACGAGACAGCCGAGCAAGGCGACCATTTTGCGTGCTCCTTTGCGAGACCCTGCACACAAGTGTTGAGTGTAGGTCATAGAAAGGGAGGTGCGACAGTCATACCTTCTTTGCGATACATCGTACCTTGATGCCTTGGCCCTTGCGTAGTTTGCAGATCAGCACTGGCTGATTACCGGGTTCACCTGTGGCGCGTTGGCACGCAAGAGAGAAACAATAAAATGCAACGGACCTTTTCCAACCGGCTGCCCGAAGGTTTCTATACGCTTCAAGCACTCCTCGCCATCCTCGTAGTACTCGCCATCCCAATCGCGTTTGCGAACCACGTCGATGTGGTCGCTAGTCACGTCCAGTGTCCCCTCGCCGGTCATAGACACGTTTAGTTGTAGCTCGACAGCGCAGTTCTGGCAGGCAGTGGAGCACGTGCAATCCTATGCAAGATGTGAGCACGTATGCAGAAGGTTCATATATAGCACGCACTCGATTGTAACGGATTGCTTCGTCACAGTTGGCGCTGACGAGGGGAATCATACCCAATCGATGCGAGATGAATTCGTCGGGTAATACGGTGGTATTTTCTTGGACTTCCACCATGTCGATAGCTAATATCCTGTCAATAGAGTTTATGGGACCTCAGGGTGGTCATACAACGCACCGACGGTTGGAATGTCAGCCATCATGACCCTGCGTAGGGAGTTCGCGAAACTAGGACAGGTTCAGTCCCAGATTTGTCAACCCAGGATAGTTGCATACGCCAAGTCGACATTTTCAAGCACAAAATCAACACGATCTTTCAAAAGTTCACGGATGCGGACGGTGGGCTCAAGCTCGGCTTGCATCGCGGAACAAGACAAGTCGCGTCGACGCGCGCCGCGCGCTCAATTGCCCACGTGCGTGAGATCTGTGCACCCATAAGCGCCCATATACGTGTTTCACGTTCTTATACCGCTCGAGTGCTACTGCAGAACAAGGCTGCATAGAACATAGGTGTCCCTAGAACCACTATTCACAGGCATCTCAAAGTGAGAAATAGTAACGGACCGGGCACCGACGGTCAAGTCAGAGCGCGTGCGAAACCCACCAATAACCGGATCCGGATCTCTAGCGGATCTCGGTCGAAAATGTTTGAGCGCGTTCTCTGCTTCTGCCCTCCACCCCGCCCGCGTTGGCTAACGCGAATCCATTCACTCAAAGGCGGTTCTGTATCCAACTTTACTAGAAGACTCTGACCCGTGTATCATCTGGCTTCCTCTATAGACGTCTCCATATCTGCTCTGTAATTTTCTGGTTGCACAAGCTCTCATGTCTCCCGTCGCTATCACCGACTCCGCTTCGTCCGGCTTCGCGCCATTGTTCGACGCTTTGCGCACCGCGCCGACCGGGCCTGGTATGGACTATGCTCACGTCCGCGAAGTCTGATCTGATCAATTCACTTAGACGCCAAGGCCGCTGCTGAGAAGATCGCTCGCGAAGTGTCTAAGCACGGCCTCCAATCGCTACAGTACGTCCAACGCTGCGATATTATGAATATAATAATCTGACTCGTATACAGTGATGAGAAGGTCTTTGAGACGCTCTCCGCGTTTGCGAACAACAAAAAATCTGGCTATGAGCGTGAATCAGCCGCAATCGGCTTCCATGCCCTGGCTACGGTCCTCGGACCGCCCGCCGGCCCTCTCTTCCTTCCGCATCTCACTGCACTGTATGAACTCTTCATGGACAAGGGTGACGTCGTGCGTCAGGCCACTACCGCTGCAAACAAGGCCATCCTCGCCCTCTTCCCTCCCGAGGCCACACGTTTGGTCTTCCGTACACTCGAGGGTATCCTTGAGAATGGCAAATGGCGAACCAAGGTTGCGGTCTTAGATGCTCTCCGTGACTTCGTCAAGACCGCTCCTCAGGATGTCGCCAACGAGCTCGCTGTCACTTTGCCGAAAGTCGAGGGAGCTATGCATGATACCAAGTCCGAGGTAGGCGTTACCATCAGTTGTTCCCGCGATGTCAGTGTTCATAGTTATCGTTTCAGGTTGCAAGCGCCGCAAACAAGGCCGCGTCTGCAATGTGCACTACGCTCCAAAACGCGGATCTGACGCCTCACATTCCTATCCTCGTCAAGTGTATGGGCGACCCAGCGTCTGTGCCTGCCTGCATCAAATCCATGTCCAACACCACCTTCGTCGCCGAGGTCACCGCGCCCGCCCTCGCCGTTCTCGTGCCGCTCCTCCAGCGTGCTCTCAATGACCGCAGCATGGACGTGCAGCGCCGTACAGTCGTCATTGTCGATAACCTCGTCAAGCTTGTTCGCGATCCGGCCGTTGCGGCGACATACCTGTCTCAGCTTGTTGAAGGCGTCGAGAAGATTGCGAAGGGTGCTGCTTTCCCTGAAGTTCGCGCTTTTGGTGAAGCTGCTCTTGCGACGCTCAAGAAGGCCGGTGCATCGTCTACCGGGGAGATTCCTCCCGCGCGTGATATCACCGGCCAGACTGCGGAGACGCGCAAGGAGCTCCTTGGCCTGTACCCTCAAAGCCTCGTCATTGGCGGGGAGCCAGCTCTCCCAGTCTTTACACAAATACTCGATTTCGAGTCTGGCCTCGTTGCGGATCTTGTACACGCAAAACGTTTCCAGGACAAGGCCGCGTGGAAGCGTTGTGTTGGCGTCTACAGTGGACCTTGGTTGTCTCCCAATGACGGTCCTGACAGCACGACCTTTGCGGAGACTGTTCGGGAGCACTTTTACGGCATTGAGAAGGTATGTCAAAGTGGGGTTGCCGCGCGATGATATGCTTAAATGCTCCTTTAGGCGAAGTACGCACCGGTGGATGCCGATGACGGCGAACAGGGCGAACTTCTCTGCAACACCGTCTTCTCTCTCGCTTACGGCGCGCTCCTGCTTCTTTCGCACACATCACTCAAGCTGTACCGCGGACACCGATATGGAATTCTCGGCACGAACGGCTCCGGCAAGTCGACCCTGATGCGGCAGCTGCGCGACGGGAAAGTGGAGAACTTCCCCCCTCAGAGCGAACTTCGCTGCATCATGGTCGAGCACGCGCTTCAGGGCGAGGACACCTCGCTGACGATCATCGACTTCATCGCTTCGGACAAGCAACTCGTAGGCGTCCCGCGCGAGAAGATTGCTCAGCAGCTGCGGGAGGTTGGCTTCGACGACGAGAGGCAGCAAGAGACTACCGGTGGCCTGTCCGGTGGCTGGAAGATGAAGCTCGAGCTAGCTCGCGCGATGTTATACAACGCTGACCTTCTTCTTCTCGACGAGCCGACTAACCATGTCGGTACTTCTACCAATCACAGTGAACCCTTGATTGACTCTTCTTTCCAGTTGGACCGGGCGTCCGTTCAATGGCTCGAGAAGTGGCTCTGTGACCAAAAGCACGTAACTGCCCTCGTTATCAGTCACGACTCCGGGTACGACTTGCCTATCCTGTTCCTGGCGATGATGCTAATCGAGTTTGGTCTCCAGTTTCCTTGACAATGTAACAACAGATATCATCCACTACGAGTCCAAGAAGGTACCCGTGTTTCGTATCCCGTCTTCTGAAAGCTAGAAGCTGACGCCGCAAGTAGCTTGTATACTACCCCGGGAACCTCTCCCATTTCGTGTCCATTCATCCGGAAGCGAAGTCCTACTATACCCTCGCCGCTACTTCCGTCAAGTTCGCTTTCCCGCCACCCGGTTCGCTCATGGGTGTGCGGAGTAATACCCGTGCCATCCTCAAGATGCAGAACTGTACCTTCACCTATCCGGGCAAGTCGAAGCCCAGTCTTATCGACGTCAGTTGCGCGTTATCCTTGTCGAGTCGTGTTGGTATCGTCGGCCCCAATGGTGCTGGCAAGTCTACGCTTATCAAGCTCTTGACCGTGAGTACTCTGTGAACTATGTCAACAAATATCCTCTGACGATGCGCATGTGTATTCCAGGGAGAGACTGAGCCACAACAGGGTACGGTCACGAAGCACCCTGCCTTACGTGTCGGTTATGTCTCTCAACATGCCACTCACCACGTCGGTACGTAGTATCATATGCCGTCTTATATCTCCTCCAATCTGATGTCTGTGATTAGACCGTCACCTCGAGAAGACGCCCATCCAATATATCCAATGGCGTTTCCAAGATGGTCATGATCGCGAGATCCTAGAGAAGGCCACCCGTGTCTTGACTGACGAGGAGAAGGCTCAGATGGAAGTTCCATTCGTCGGTAAGAATGGTACCACACGCAAACTTGAGGTATGTCCAGTCTCAACATCGTCCACCCAGGCACTGATCTAGTTCCATGCAGATGATCATGGGTCGGCAAAAGCTCAAGAAGACGTTCCAGTATGAGATCAAGTGGCGTGGACTCGACCACAAGCACAATACCTGGGTTCCCCGCGATGAGCTCATCCAGAAGGGCTTCACGAAGCTTGTGGCGCAATTTGACGATCTTGAGTCCTCGCGCGAGGGTGCTGGTGCTCGCGAGACCCGCGCGGACATTGTTCGCAAGCATCTCGAGGACATCGGACTCGACGGTGACATCGCTCAGTACAACGAGATCGCTGGTCTCTCTGGTGGTCAGAAGATCAAGCTCGTCATTGCTGCATGCTTGTGGAACAACCCGCAGATCTGCGTGTTGGATGAGCCTAGCAATTTCTTGGACCGCGAGGCGCTCGGTGGGCTCGCGGTTGCCATACGTGACTGGGCCGGTGCTGTGGTACGCCAATCCTCATCTTAGGCCCTCCTTTGCGCCCACAGCTGACATGCAACCCCGCAGGTAATCATCTCGCACAACGAAGAGTTCGTCAACGCGTTGTGTGCGTGGACCTGTCTTCATGTTCATCTCGGAGAAACATCACTCTGACTGTCTATCTCTAGGCCCCGAGATCTGGGACGTGAACGCCGGACGTATGACGCGCCGCGGCAAAGTCGCTATCGTAGAGGACGCCTTCTCGACGCCCAAGCCGCGCAGTGGCGAATCCACGCCCTCGCGCTCGCGTGGACAGACGCCCGCGGCTTCTCGCGGCGCAACACCTGCTGGTTCAGTCGCTCCTACCCCCGCCGGTAGTGATGCAGAGGGCGCAGCGCCCGGGTCTGCGAATGGCGCCTCGACTCCACCCGTCAGGAAAAAGAAGAAGTTGACGCGTAACCAGGTCAAGGCGCGCGACGAGCGCCGGAAGGCTCGTCATCTGAAGTGGCTCATCGAAGGCGGTCCGAAACCTGAGGACACAGACTCCGATTAGGCAGCGTCGGTTGCTGCGTACACGGTCGAGGTACTGACGGGGAGTATGTTGCCCGTGTCACCATCAGTTCTTTGGCGAGCGCTCGGTGCGTGCTACCGTCCGAGTGGTGTATCTTATTCGTTTGATTTCCTGTCATGTTTTCTGTTCTCCGACTCTATTTAGACGGCCCACATCATTTACGTTCGTGTCCACTAAGCTCTGCTTGTCGGAGCTTGGGCCTGTCAAAGGCTCAAAGCTCGTATAAACCTGCGCGGATCCCTCGAGGGAATTGTCGGATGCTCTTGACCTCATATCAGGACACCGACCCCAGGTACCATCTTTCTACTGTATAGGTGCCTCAAGGCTGTGACTGTCTGTGTACGCTCATCTTACAGTGGCACAGTCCGAGCCGCCTCGTAGCCGTCCATTGACATCATCGCTGGACATGCGGTGGCCACGAGGTAGGTCGCAGCGCGCTGCGGCATACGACGGGCGTCGCTCATACGTCCATCCATCCCTGATCCCTACTCTGAGATGTGCAAGGCGCCTCTAATTCTGGCAGGGCCGGGAGCAGAAGCAAGGCGAGTTGAAATGAACGGCATCGTGCTATCAACCTCGTTCTTCCGATAGATTCCGTGCTTTGGCGCCTAGCTTTGACCACCTGCCCCGTTCTCTTCTGTAGGTTTGCATGAAAGACTTCTCGATCTATGAGAATGGTATGATCTTGGCCTAATCTGCACTCCAACAACGTACTGAAATGAGAGGCGGCCATGTGTGGGCCTTGATGAGATTATCGTCCAACTGTCTCTTGACGCCGCAAGAATGCAGCTGTATGTTGCGATGATGTCCATCTAATGTCTACGAGGCGTAGAGTACTCAGTACACGCGCGTTTGATATCCTTCGAAGGTGATGGGGCCAAGAGTAGCAGTTGCTTTGACAACACGGCTTCAACGTCTCCGGACCCTCCAGAGTTGGTCTCGTGCTCATGATGAGCCCTACCATGCTACAGTTCGACGCTGCATTCTTTGGGTTGAATGCGGAAGCATACACGCGCGAATGGTGGCTTATATCCGGTCATATGAATCGACTACGTTCCAAGGTCTCGTGAACTCTCGGGGGATGAAGCTTCGACGCTACGTCTCACCAACGTGGCACACGCATAGTAGTGCTCATGCGAGCAGCCTGACGAGAAGTTCATCTGTCGGCGGTAGCGTCAACGGTCAACGTATGTGGGCGCCCATTTATCGGTCTTGTTCTGACCATAGGTGCACCGTCGAGTTTATCATTCATCTCGGGCCTCACACCAGGGCCCAACCTATCGATCCGTTCATCTTACTTATCTCGCTCCCTATCGGGGTGAGTCTATCTCTTCGATGAAGTCCGCGGTTTCTTAAGGCTTCATGCGAGTGCCATTCGAACGTCGACGAAGATATTCTTGTGAAGCGGCCCCAAGTTCAAGTCGGCGAGCCGACTGGGAAAACTAAGACGCACTGGCGACCAGGCCGAATGACCTGGGTATGACGGTCTACGAGCTTCTTGACTACTGCGCATGTAACCAAGGGAAGGATGGTTCACGCGATCATGTTCCATGAGCATGATATTCAGTATCTAAGTTCGACGATAGGAGACAATTATATCGTACAGCAGCAGGTGTTCACGACAAGGTGCGATAGGATAACAGAGCGACACGATATAAGACATAGATGCGTACACGATGTATAAAAGTGGGGAATTGATGAAGTGATTCTGGGGTATCATATGAGCTTGGCGGGGGACTATAATACTGTGAGCGAGCAAGACGATTGTTGCGTGACGTGTGAACTATTGAAAGCAATATATCTAGATTGAGTAGACAAAGGATCGGAGAGTCCGGGTTCTGTGATGCGGTGGGAAGTGATTGTGCGATAAGAGTGAGAGATGAAAAGAGTACGACCGGGAGAATGGAGTCCGAAACTCGTAGACACGATTGACAAGGGGACGGTGCGACGGATCATGCAACCTCAATAGCGAGGGCCTCGCACGGTGGACGTAGAGTGCGCGCCGGCGCTACGACCGGATGTGCCCGGGGCAGGCGAGCGCGATGTTGAGTATGTCTGTGGATGTTCCGGAGATCTGCTATTACTGCCATACGATGGCCCGGACGTGGACACTGTGCCAGCGGGGGAGCGGGATGCGTAGGGTGCAGGTGTGACTGATCGGGCCTGCCGTGAGGCTAGAGACGACGATCCTGCACTCGTGGCCGCAACGTTGGCGGCCCGACTTGACGAGGGCACTGACGCTGACCCAGTCGCCCCGCCGCGGGCTGCGTCCTGCGCAGATGACGTATGTCCCGTAGAGCCGACAGTGGCGGATGCGGTCTTGCCACGAGTACCCGAAGGCTGTCCCTGGCGCAAGGCTTGTCGTCGATTCTGGAACCTGCAGGCGGGCACGACGCAGAAGGGATCATCAGTTAGATGCCAATAAAAGGCGGGCGCATCGCAGGGGTAAGATGCGATGAAACACGCACCAGATCTGTACCGTGCGCGGCGTCATGCCCAGTTGCTCGCCGAGCTGTATGCGCTCTTCCGTTGATGGGAACTGGGTACGCGCAAACACCGCCGTAAGCACTTCCAGTTGACGCGCGTCGGCCCTCTTGCGTTTCTTCTTGACTGATGGCTCAGCAGATTGAGGCCCGTAGTCAGTTGGCGAGGTAGCAGGTGGAATCCGAGCATAGGGATACTGTCCGACCGTCGGCACATGTCGCGAATTTGTGCGCTCTACACCCACAGAATGCGACGTCGCCGAGGGATATTGCGAGCTGGTCGATACACCTGGATACGCCGGTTGTGCGCGGGAACTCGACAACAAAGGCTGCGTGTACATGGCGCCGTTGAGCGAGGCGTACGGAGCGTAATGTTGCGGATAAGCGGCCTGTGGCGAGCGGACATCTTCAGATGGAGATATAAGAGCTGGGTCGGGCTGAGAGTGAGCATAGTACGATGCGTCCTGATGCCGACTGGACGAAACAGGGACGCTTAATGGCGGTAGACGACGAGGGTCGGCCGCAGGCGGCAATCCCGGAGACGCACGTTGGGTGGCATGCGCTTGCGTCGTATAGTTGGAGCCCATAGAAGACGTGTAGCCGTAGCCTTGGTCATTAGTAGAAGGTATCTGGTGAGTCCCGTCTGCGACATAGCACAAAGGTCAATAATCGTGACGCGTTAGGTTCTCGGCATCTCTCACAAGTATCGTACTGTGCCATGTACGAGGGATCTATATGGGTGGTCCTTGGTTGCGTCGAATATCCGCTCTGATATGCTGCCGACGCTGGAAGCGGCATCTGTGAGTGCGTATCCCCAATATTCAGTTGGGGGTATGGATTCATACCTGGAGGAGGTGAGTCCGTCAACACGGAAGATAGGGAGGGGAGTGTGGGTCGCCTACCCTGCGCCATGGATGGACTAGTATAATTGTACGCGCCGTATGTAGTTTGCGGAGGAGATCGTCTCCTTAGTTGTCCGTAGAGATCGTAATAATATTCGTCCTTGCTGGACATGTCGTCAAGTGAAGAAGAAGAAGAGTGAGAAATGGAGACTGACTGCCGCGGACCGGGAGTGACAATAAGTACTACTCGCCACGCGACAAGCTGTGCCGAAAGGCCGTCGTGGGGCTGGTAGCCGGCGCCAGGGAAACGGTGCTCCCCGGATGAACGCCTTCAAAGCGGTTGGCACGAGGTAGTTGTATCGCTACCAGGAGGGCAAAGGGCTGGAGGGGAACGAAAGCTGGCAGGCTGTGTTGACGCACGACGCAATGCTTTGTCCGTGCGGCGCGTCAGTCTGGGAATGACTCAAACGGACGGGGGGAGAGAAGCGATTGCTTGAACGTGGGCGCGTCCGACATAAGTACCTTGCGGCACGGGCAGGCGCTTCGTGCGGACCAACGGCTGGGCAAATAGAGCCGCGGATTCAACTGATGGGATAGCCTCGAAAATGGTACAAGGCCTTAAAGCGACGGCCCCACTCTGAATCAATCTCCGATTACGTTTAGCGGGGACCCGGTACAGTTTCCAATACCACTAGGCGCCATTCCACGAAGACGTAGATGCCGTGCGTCGAAGTCGGCAAACAGGGTCACGCTGGTCACCGCGCTGCGTGAATTTTGTTCTGTACAGCACTATGATCGTCGGTTGTACATCGAGACATTGGTCAACATCAACATTGGAAAGTCAAGTTCAGTGGCGTCACAAACTTCGCCGAGCAGCCCTGGGCCTCTGAGTGGTATTTCCGCATGAGTTGTGATTGCTTCGGGGCGGACCGCTCGAGCCTCCGAGTCCGCTTAACCGGCATCTCGCGGCGAACTGGGATCGGGAAGGATGAGAAAGACGCCGTTAGCCTTGCTCAAAGATCTGGTGAGGTCGATACCGGCGGCTTGGACTCCTGTTTGTTTCATCTTCCCTGCTACGCTAACACAAAGTCAAATGTCACCACGCCGAAGCAGCGTGAAATTGCCTCGTGTGCGCGCAGGCACTCGACATCATCAGTGCTATGCAGACCTCCTAGTGCAAACCAAAACCTTTCATCTCACTGGATATGAATGAATAGAGCGAGCCTCAAGGCTCGCAATGGCAGGTTTAACTGCCTTGGACGGTGGTGGTGGTTTGTTGTCACTTTCGGCCGTTGGAAGTTGACGCGATCAGAGGAAACCGAACCGACGGCGTCAGTCCACGTGTTATGACGGCAAACGCCTCGGTTGGCGGTCTCCGTCGTCGAAGCCCCTGTCTCTGTACACGCCTTTGGCTCCTGTCTCTCGCCATCGCCAACGTCGCTCGCGGCGACGCGCTTGCCTTTTAGTATGGCCAACAGGGCCTGGCGTCCGTTACCAACACCACCTGTCGGAGCACCATATCGTGTCGAGCCTGGTCACAGCGACATGTACTCTTTCGCGAATCAATACCACGATCTCCATCCATACCCTAGCCAATTCGTAGCGATGCCTCCAACTTCTCAGTTTGACGTCCCAACACCTTCTCTGAGAGGCGGCACTCTGTTGCATAAGGGTTTCTACGACTTGCTTTCTATGATTCCTACGCCATCTCCATCGCGGCTCTTATGGGGGAACCAGGACTCTCAGCAACCGATCGCCGGGCCCAGGTACGAAGAGTTGCCGGTGCAGAAGCCTGCCACTTCGCCGCCCCTTCCGGTCACCAGTTCTCCGCCTCTCTCCGCTGCCCCTGCAACGCCGCGACGCGGCAGGCGGATCAGTAAGGACATGGTCTCAAAACCGACCGGATTCGTGTACGCAGCGATGTCCTCATACGAGCCTAGCGTTATGGCTTATTATTATGCAGTCATCTTGTGCACGCTTCCGATGCTGATCAGTTTGAGGCATTGCTCAGACGCTGGGGACCAGACGGTCAAGGGAAGCTCCCGGGTAAGTGCGGACTTCACCTTACGTTCTCCGATAATTATTGACAATATAATGCTCAGATCCGTCCTGGGCTCTTCCGATCAAGAACCGTGTTCGCCAAACCAATCAGGCCCGCGCCGTGAACGAAGTTATTAACGCTCTCGAGCCTACTGCGAGTGTGATCGCCCCTGGACAGGCGCAGCTGCGTGTGGTCAATAATCCTAGTGTCCTTACTTCGTCGACTATCACCACCGGCGCTGTAGAGAATCAACCTTTCACGCCAATAACTCCGACAAGCCTTGAAGGTCTACCTGGTCGGCCCGGGCATTCAACTATACGTTGGGCTGGCGGACTCATGCCGGTGCATCCTGAAACTGCTGAGCACGAAGACGACCTTGTTCCTGTTGCGGATTCTGAAATGGACACGTCAATCGCGGCCCCTCCACGAGCTATCAACCCATCGCTTTCTACGCTTGAGAAGGCAGTAGCCTGTCGGATCTACTTCGAGAATCTATATTTCCCGTTATTACGCCAGCCCCCCTCTCGTGAGCAACGCCGTCTGGCTATGGAGCGTGATATGGCGGCCATGGGCTTGTCTGAAGATGCGAAGGATGCGCTTCGCGCACGCTGGCGTCAGAACGAGACCGAATATCTGCGGGAGAAGCGTCGAAAGGTTGATGTAAGCGCCTTCATCAAGCTCAAGACTATTGGACACGGTGAGCTCTGCTACAATCTCGAGCTGCTGGACAGTCCTCATTCTGTTGGGATGTGATCTCATTAGGAGCGTTCGGGGTCGTTTCGCTCGTTAAGGAAAGAACTACCGGACAGTTGTATGCGATGAAACAGGTCTGCACTTTCAGCCCTACCCCTTGTTCATCGCCGCCCATGATTGACGTATGACCTACTAGCTTCGGAAAACGGACATGTTGCGCAAAGGGCAGGAAGGACATGTTCGTGCTGAGCGCGATATTCTCAAGTCTGCTGCCCTAGTCGCCTCTCCAGGCGGCGGGGAGTGGATTGTCAAACTCCACTACAGCTTCCAAGATCGCGATAACCTCTATCTGGTCCGTGTTATTCTCACTGCCGCGGCATCCTTCTCCGTCGCTGCTCATGTGAGCGCGGACCCATGATACTGATTTCATTTAACGCAGGTTCTTGAGTACATGGGAGGAGGCGATCTCCTGAACCTCCTGATCGAACGCGATGTATTCCCGGAAGATTTCACGCGCTTTTATGTTGCCGAGGTGTGCGGTCGGATTTCTCGCGCGACCTCATGAAGCTTACACTCCTTCGCCTCTTCAGATGGTCCTGGCTATTCAATCTTGCCACAGGCATGGTTTCATACACCGCGACATCAAACCGGATGTGCGTGTCGTTATCTCGTGCTGGGGCTTGGGCTAATTCTGTTGCGTCAGAATTTCCTGTTCGATCCTGATGGTCATATCCGCCTCAGCGACTTCGGTCTTGCGTGAGTGTAACCCCTCTATCGTCGATCGAAAAGTTCATGTTTCTTGCATTCACAGCACGGACCTTCACTGGGCTCACGACACTTCATGTCCGTGTTCCGGAACCACAGTTAGCGGCACATAGATACTAACCAGATTCTATGTCAGACTATGAGCAACAGCGACTCCACCTTCTCCGCAAACATGGAATCGATCTAGAAGATAGCCTCGGCGACGGCACACGCACAAAGCGTCTGGATCGTCTGGATATCGACAAACTCATGGGTGGAGACGGAAAGGGGGGCATTTTCACTTGGAGGGAGAAAAATCGTAGGAAGGTTCGTACACCATCTTGTGAATCGCCTGTGTGCTGACCCCCAACTTTGCACCCGTAGCTGGCCTACTCGGTGTACGCTCCGCTTATCTTCAATCTACTCTACCCATTGACTGACTTGTTTGCAAAGCTGCGGGACGAATTCGTATAGTCCGTCTCCGCCTTCATGCCGCATCTTAGCAGTGTTAGGCTCATGCCGGCTCTTCAGTGTCTCCGGAGGTTATTCGCGGCCAGGGATACTCTTACGGTTGTGATTGGTGGAGCCTGGGCGTGATAATGTATGAGTGTTTATACGGGTGCGCGTGTCTTTCATTTCTACCTTCCCCTCGCTGACACGTTCCCCAGCTTTCCGCCTTTCGTCAGCAAATCTGTGTGTACTTCATTCATCACTCCTGTGGGCGCTGTGCATAGCATCACTGGCGGATCTCATCTTGAATACCCTTTTCCGCGGTCATCACTGACACTGCCGCTACCATACAGCGCCACGTCACACGGCAAAAGATCCTCAATTGGAGACAATCGCTTCGCTTTCCGAATAAGCCTGCTGTCTCGCGCGAGGGAATCGACCTCATGCAACAGCTGCTGCGCGAGCCCGAAGATCGCTTAGGTTCGCAAGCGGCGTCTTCCACGATCCGGCCAAACTCGCAGATCGTGAATGCTCGCCGCAGCGGCTTTCTGGCCGCCACCCCAGGGGCCAGCAACGATGGCGCCGACCTGATCAAGGTGTGTTTGTCGCCAGGCGTTGCCCGTGCGAGGCGTACTCACGGATGTGGCAGGCCCACCCTTGGTTCCGTGGAATCGACTGGCTCAATATACACAGATATCCCGCTCCATATCGCCCCGAGCTGACGAACCCAGAAGATACCCGACACTTTGATGACGATATTCCAGCTGAGGTGAGTCTACCAGTCTACCAGTCCCGCTTCAGTGCCGCGGCTCCATCGCTCACTGCACCAATAACCGCCGCAACAGCCGCTAGCCCCGGCTAACGGTGCACCACCTGATGCGACTCGAGACCCTCTCTTGCGTGACGAGGTCCACGGTGCAGAGATCCTACGCGTACGCAAGGAGCTCGCATTTGCTGGATTCACACACAAGAGTCCCCGCGCAATCAGCTACAACCGCCTGTCACGCGTCTTCAACCCGCTCCCCGACTCTTATGGAACCGAACTTCCAGAACAAGGCCTCGAGGACGATTTGGTCAAGACGCCCCGCGGTCGCTCGGCTGTTCGCGTCGATGCTGAGATCGGCAAAGGTCGTGCGATCTCGCTGTAGCCTTTTACCCTTCCCGGCTCTATATACTTCCGTATTTGAAATTGTTGTGCTCTGCGTCCTTCGTTACGACCGGCTTTATTGCCTGTATACCTACTGTTCTAGCCATTCAACACCGCTCTCTGACAACCACGCATGCCCCTTAATCAGTTACTTGTGCTTTGACTGTATTCTCTTCTGCGTTGAATGATATGACCACATGCCTTACCCTCTACGTACAAGAGACGCCTGCTGATGCCCCACTCCAAGTCTGTATACACACGCGAACCCCAAACGGTTGTTCTTGAATTTGCCTCGGCGCTTCATCTAACACACACGTCCTTGTTCCTTTCCGGGTGTTGCATATCCTGTTGTTGAGTTCTAGGTCCCAACTGGTTATACCCCGTTACAGTCGACACGCGGAGCTTTCTACGTCCACATGTTCGCGGTGGTAAGATTAATAGTCGCACTGCATCCTGCGAAGATGGAAGCGCGAGTGTATGCAAAGTCAAACAGGCAAGTCCGCGGTCATTGCTACTTCATTCTGAGTGATCTCCAGCAAACGACGACGGCGACTCCAAGAACTATTACTGAGAGCGCTATCCAGAACTCCGAACGCGGATGCGCTTGGACGCCCGCCTGACAAGGAGTTTGTAGAGCATGCAGAGGGTCGCACCATGTACGAGCTTTTGTTCGATCAGATTTCGATTCCATGCACCCCCACAGCAACTCAAACAGCTGCTGTGTGGTGTAGGGCAATGCGTACGTTGGAAGGGACGTGTTAAATGCACCGAGTGTACGCTATGTGGGCGCATGGCAAACATAGTCCTACCGGGACCAAGGCTCGAAGCGGCTCCCGGAGCTGGAGGCTGTTGGACGTGGATGCGGTGCGTCTAGTAGCCTGGTGTAGTCGAGCCGTACTTGCCCTACACCGGCACATATGGCGCCTGGGAGCCGTGATGTTCGGATCCAGAGTGAGAATAACTGTATGGGTACAGGGATCGAACGGGCCAAAGACAGGCTGTGGCAGGACCGCTTACGCATTGCCCGCCAAATTTTTGCGCGGCGTTACGACGTTCGAGTGCAATGATGATCCCCCGGGTCAAGGGTATACTGTACAAGGACGGGTCTGATAGAGTATTCTGAGGGAACGGACGTCCTGCTCTGTGCAAGAAGCAGATGTCGGGGGATGACGGGTGTTCGTGGCAGCCACGATGCGGCAGCGTGTGAGACACGTTGCCCACGATGCTCGGTTGCCTCGTGGCCCGCACTGAAGGAGAAGTAGGCCACGAAAATCCGTGATCAGCCATCGCACAGCTAGGGGCAGACATCGAGCATCTGTAGTCCTTGTTATGGGCGGAGTCGAATGCTAACGGTCAGTGGCGTTCCACGTTGCGTACGCGAAGCAGCAGAAGCGTACCCTCAAATGCGACTACGCCGCTATTCGTCACAGCTGAGCGCATTCAAACGATCGCTCAGGAAGACAAAAGGTGCACAGCTATGTACACCTCAGCCAGAGATGAAGACGCCACAATTGATGCAACTGGCGTGAGCCGAGTCATTAGTGCGTGTTGTCTGGACTTCCTCCTGCAATTCATTTAGCCTGGAGAGGAAAGTCGCGCTCAAAGCTCTCTGGACGATACGTCAGCGCGTCAGCTTATATGACAACAGTAAGTAGGGCGATGCGCAGCGGCAGCGCCCGCCTGCGTAGTAGGTTAACACCCGAGTTCGCCGTAAGCCGTCCCCCTCTTCAAGCGCTTCTAGGTCGTTCCTGCCTTTGATCGCAAGCCACAGCGGCACTTTTTGAAGCTGGACACCATTTTCGTAGTCTGGCACACAGTAGTAGATTAGGGAAGAAGACAAAGGCTCTGCCTCAGAGTCGGAGGACGTGAGAACAGAAGGCAAGCGTCGTCCAGCGATGTAAATCACGATGATATCTGGACCTGTACGGACCCACATTCGAGCACCCGCGACGGCGACCCGGAGGCAGATCAGACCGGAACCTTGCTACGGACGGCGACGAACAACGAAATTGACATTGACTTGGTTCACCATCTTGTCCTAAACTGCGACGCGACGGAAACTGAGGTACTGTATCGGAACGCGCGAAGAGGGTCTGCGCCACGGTATTGTCGCCGACTTGACATTGCATGCTCTCCCCTGTCCGTCTGTCACCCGGGCGCGCATCCTACGACCGCGTTGAGACCATGGAATCCCCCGGAGAGGAGAAATACTCCATGTCGTATTCTTCGCACGCACCCATCAATACTGCGCCCACGTATCCTCCCATGTCATCCATGCCTGCACCCAGTGGTGCTCGCTCGAACGACTACGCGTACAACGATGCAGAGTCTCAGTCGCAGGGCACCAGCACAAGGAAACATAGACGTACAGGAGACGGAGCATCGCGCCCTGGTTTATCCAGCAGTCAGAGTTGGGACCTATTCGCCGGAGTGAGGAAAGGGTATCAGGATTTTGATACTGCGAACGCGTCTGAACAGCATCTGGCTTTCGCCGACGGCGATGTCCCCAAGACTGCGGTGCGCTGCATCATGTTATGATATCGAAAAGACGGACACTCAATTCATGTAGCTTGTTCGATTTTACAATTATTTGCTGAACGTTTCGATCATCACGCGTTGGACACTCTTCATCGTTCCCATGGCGGGTCTCCTCTGGATCCCGGGTATCCTGCAACTCACCACATTTCCTAACGCAGCTGTGAGTAGCCTCTTAGCGCGTTTTATGTCACTTCTCTCAGAGGGTTTAGATATGGGGTGTGAAACTTGTCTGGTGGAGTATATGGCTCTCAGTGGTCTGGGTCGGTATGTGTGGCACTTTTGCGTAATCGAAGATGTTCTTATGGTACTCCAGGGTGGTGGGCCAGTCTTGCTGCTTCGTGAGTATTGCGTCTGATGTTGGCGACGGTGCGCACACTGATCATGTCTCAGGATGATTCTCCCCATCTTTGTCCGGGCTACCCTGGGCGTTGTTGCCGTCGGGCTGCGTCGATATATAGATTGGTTGACTGCTCTGAAAAGGTTACAACTCTAACCTCCTCCTTCCACAACATCACTCTGACCACCGAGTAACTAGATACTTGGCTTTATTTGGCTGGACACTTGCTGTCTGGATATCTTTCCAGCCTCTCATCAACACGCGTCAGGCCTCAGATGCCAGCAGTTCCAGCAAGAATGCGCTAGACCTTGCGGCAAAGCTTCTCTTTGCGATCTACATCTGCGCCGGTGTTTTGTTGTTCGAGAAGTTCAGCATCCAATGGATTGCAACAAAGTTCCACGAAGAGTCGTACGCAGGTGCGTGTACTCACCGACGCGTAAAACCTATATACATTCGCTCATCCTTCTCTAGAGCGTATTGCGCATCAGAAATTCGCCGTGGGGGTCATTACGACTCTGTACAGACACTCGCACAATATCATGGGGCGCTCTGATACGCTAAGGGATAACACTAGCGGCACTGCGAAGGGAGTGAATGCGGATCCTCGCAAAGTACTCAAACGCGCGTTGAAGGGCGTGAAAAGTGCCGCTAAAAGTACCACGACGGTCTTCGGAAACGTGGCATCTGAGATCGCCGGTACTTCGATCCTACAGCCCAACTCGCCTCAGTCGATGGTCCAGGCAGCCCTCGAATCTGCGAACAAGACACGCCTTGTGAGCCGCATCGCTTCTGTCCAGGACATCGCACTCATCGCGTTGCAGTTGGCACGGCGCTTGTTCTACTCTTTTGTCTCTCAGGGCGCAGACGTCCTGTATGTTACAGATATCCATCCGTACTTTGGAAATGCGATGGATGCCGATCTTGCTTTCACGCTGTTCGACAAGGATGGCAATGGCGATGTCACGCGCGACGAACTGGAATTAGCCTGCTTGTCCGTACCATAGTACCATTTCTTTCAACTGCGCAAACTGACATCATGGCCCAGAGAGATTCACCGCGAGCAGCTGTCCATCGAGCGCTCCGTCGCTGATATCGATAGCGCCGTAGGACGGCTGGATAACATCCTGATGTCTCTTTACGTCCTGATAGCGATGCTCATCATCGCAGTAGCTCTGGTATGTCGACTTTCGGTCGTTCGTATTCCACGGACCTAACGGGCTTTGCAGGAGGCGCAGCTTGCGTCCGTTATTACTGCCGCCGGCACCTTTGTGCTGGGTACGCCCATTCGCTTGTGACTAGCTTCCGATCGCTAACGGCGGCCTTACAGGTCTCAGCTGGCTCATCGGCAGCAGCTTGGCGGACGTTCTGACAAGTATCATCTTTCTGTTCATCAAGCACCCCTTCGACGTCGGCGACCGAGTCGACCTGCCCGAAGGCAGCTACACCGTCAAGCAGATCGATCTTCTCAGCACAATCTTTCTTGATTCACAGGGCACGCTCGTTCAGGCGCCGAACACGGTCTTGTCGACGCTCGTAAGTATCACGCGCTCATACACCTTCTCGCTCGGATCACGGGCTCAGCCGCTTCTTCATTATGCAGTTCATCAAGAACATCCGGCGCAGTGGCCAACAATCCGAGCCTTTTGTGTTTGATGTCGCCTACGACACGTCCTTTGAACAGATTGAGCAACTCCGCAAGAAGATGTTACAGTTTGTCGGCGAGAATGGCCGCGATTATCAGCCTTCTTTCGACATACTCGTATCGGGTAAGTCACCGCCGTGCTTCTTCTCGTCATTGGGCGTTCTAGCTGAAGCGGTTCGGCGGCTAGATATTCCCGAGCAGACGAAGATGTCGTTGACGGCGAGCATCCTTTACAAGAGTAATTGGCAGCAGGGCGCCATCAAGGGTATGCGTAAAGCTTATTCATCGATCTCGCTGTTAACGGAGAAGCGCTTAGCTCGCCGCCGTAATAAGTGGATCTGTGCACTCAAGCAATACCTTGCCGAGACGGGCATCTACGGACCAGAAGGTAATCCGGATAAGTCTACAGGCCCAAAGGAATACACGCTGGTCCCGTGGGACGAGGTGCGAAGCAATCAGATGGCACACGCTATGCCACAGCCATCACCCACGATGCCCTCCGCGGGCTGGCGTCTCGCAAGCGCGAACGCAACCAACCTCGGTTAGCACTTCCTCGCGATCCTCGCGGACGATCTGATTGACTAGCTTCTTTCAGGTGCTGAGGACGTATTCGGTGAAGGCAGTGAGCTCCGCTTACGAACCCCGCGTCCATCTCAACCACCGTCTGGCTCTACGTCACGAGCCATGCCATCGCCGACCTCGCAAATGCCAGACATGCCCACTGCAGCCTCTACGGCCATGCCGGACAGCATGCGCCCACCGCCGATCAATACAAACCCCTATATCACAACAGCAGTTGAAGGCGCAGACATTGAATTGCGGTCTCGCTGAACGTAGGACAAACTCCTCGGTATTGCAAGGTGGCATTCTAGGGTTCGAATAATGGACATTACGGTTTACGGACGATGTCGTGCTTGGGATGTTTGCTCCTTATGTTTAACTTGTCACGCTCCTATGTTGTGGCTTGCTGGTTTTCAAGCTCTACTATGCTCAGTGCTCTAGACTAGATAATCCCATGCGATTGTTTGAAGCAGGTTTCAGGTGTGCAGCAACGTATGTGTATATACTGCCCGCAATGGAAGTACGGCATCAAGAATAGTAGCCAGGGCCTGGAATAACGCAGGTGCATATCGTGGCTTTTAGGTATCACACCCTGGGCATGTGTGCAGCACTTCATGAACAAAAACGTCGCATTCGGCGCAAAAATCGTGCTTGCACGTAGGACAACGATATCGCCCGAATGGACTCATGCCCTCTTGAACTTGCGCAGCCTGCTGTGGCTGAGTTGGAAAGGTTACAGCACAGGCATGGCAGCGAGGCGTTGAATCAACGAGGTCCTTGCTAAAGCAACACGTCAGGTCCATCCGTTTGAGCTACCCCAGAAGAAAGAACTCACACAGCAGTGTAAGGCTTTACGGGGAAAAGGTGATGGAAACTTCGCGCAAGATGTGGCGCAGAGACAACCATGAGCCCACAGACGGCACAGTCTGTTGGAACGTCACATAGTCGGGCTCGGCAGCGCGGACATAGAAAGCCTGCCCGCTTCATCGCGCCGTGACATGCACAGAGAGCAGCTGGTGATGCAACCGGTAGTCGGGTAGGGAAGCCCATGAGCATCAAATCAGCACCACCAGCTGCTGCCGGTGCGGTAGTAGGGGTAGTTTTGGGTGCCGCACGCTGAGCGGGTGGAGGTATGAGATCAAAAACAAGGTCTTTGAAGTGACCCTCGTTCATCGCCACGCTAAATGTACCTGTAACCTCCGTCAATAGGGCTACAGTAGTATCGGCGTCTGATCACACACCGCCTGTCTTGTCGCACAGTTCACGACATATCTTCATTTCAGCTGCAAGCGCTACAACCGATATTCTGATCTTGTCCCGTACACATGCGGCTAAAGTTTCCATGATGTCGCCGGGATCAACAGTTGTCAGAGCCCCGTATACAATCAGTACTTCGCGCGAGGCGTGAGCAGGAAGGTGGCTGAGTGATACCAGTAAGCAAGCTTATAACGTCATGTACATACGCACCAGGAGCTTACCTCATGGCACTGCGGGCCATCTCGAGCGCATTTTGGAGGCTAGGTTCGCCTACAGGTTCCAGTTTATGTTTCTCTGCTAGTGCGGCCAGCACTTCCTGGGGATTACCTGACGTCTATCAGCAACCATCCCAGTAGTGAGAAACCTGTAGTAGTACCGGTCATTTCCGCAACGCGTTCGCCCAGACCTGCACGCATCGCGCCTACGCCGATCTGCCCGAGAGGGTTCTGGTCGAACCACTCTGCCACAAATCCCCGCGACGTCTGTAGCGTAAGTTCGAGACGATTCGGTCGCATATCTCGTTCGCGCATGGCTTGGGATAGATCAAGTAACAAGAATAGGTGCCTGACAATTGTTCGTCGGACCGCGGACGCGGGCTCGAGCAGACTATGATATCTGTTCTAAGATACGGAGTAGCGTACTTGTTCAAGAAGCGTACCGCTTGCGCCGCTGCCGGGCAATGAGACCGTCTACTGCACCCTGTAGACTCCCGCCCTCGTCTTCCCGTACTTGATCCCAAGATCTTGTATACTGTGCCTCCCAAGCGTAGCCCCCCTTATACGCATAATGAGACACATATAGCTAGTGATGTGCAAGAGTCGGCAATACATCCTTAGCTTTGGCCTTTCCTTTGTCGTTCTTGTCCCTCTCTTCAAATTCGTCACCCGAATCAGATTCAACCTCGATCCTTCGAGGAGGCATGATGGCGAAGATGGTGGTGGTGTGGGTCAAGATGCGTGAACGCGTTGACGGCCGGAGACCGTGACAAACGCGCGACGCGAGAGGACGCGACGCGTCGCTCACGCGCTCTTCCCACACCAGTGCCACAGTATTACTGCTAACTCAGGGCACACCATCGTATACACAGCACAGCCACACGAGCGAGGTGAAGACAGAGAAAGATACGCAGTTGAGAGTATAGAGTACTAGATACATGCGGTTGGTATGTTCGAATGCAGGAGACTAGATACAAGGGCACTTCATGAGGTTGACAGTCACGGACATTGCGGATAACATGCACACGGAACGGAGCGTGGAGAAGAGATGGTGAGGAAAAAGAGCAAGTAGCAGGCTGCAAACCGAAACACGTAGAAGTTCATGCAAAACCGAAGCCTTCGCCACCCTCATTGATCGCCAATAGCAACTGCTGGCGCAGCATCTCGTACGAAGAATACTGAGGAAGGTCGATCTGGTTGAAGCCTATCCTCAAGTTAGTAGAAGGACGATAGCTGGAAAGCGTCACACTCACAGGTATGCGCCTGCGGCAAGCGGTCCGTGTCGCCATATGCGCGGTGGATTGAGAAGCGTTGAGTACCCTGGACACCTTGGAGGTCACCAAAGCCATTGAGAGGGACACGCGATGTGCCTGTGGCGAAGCTGAGCAGCTTTGCGCGCTCGTCACGAGTGAAGGACTTCAGGGCGCGCCACCACCACACGATGACTGGGTCAGAGCTGGTGTAACCGTTGTACTCGGTCGCAGCGCGCCACTCATCGACGTCAACATCAGGTGTTCCCGAGATCAGTAGCTCAAGCTCCTGCTCGTTGAACTGCAATATCGTTAGTACGAGATCAGGCAGTTGAACGTTATAACGCACGATTGTCACCAAATCTTTGGGAATGATCTCGTAGAAGCCGCCGAGCAGTGCCTCGAGCTGATCCTTGATGGACTCGTACAGGCGGTACTGGGCGGAGAGCTGGACGAACTCGCGACGGTTCTCGAGCGTGACCGGGATCTTGTCTCCGTCGGGCTTGAGGTTGACGATCTTCATGACGCCGAACTGAAAACGGGGATGTTAGAGATATAACTATATTCAACAAGAGTGAACGAACCTCATCGCCCTCGACACTGAAGGTCATGTCGAGCGGGGTAGGGTCATTCTCGAGAATCCAGCACAACGACTTGTAATAGTCGGGGTCAATCCACTCGACGTCGCGGTAGTCAACAGGCTTTTGCAGGATCTGGCGGTACAAGCTGCGTGCGAAGTATGCGTCGAGAAGACGACCGTCGTAGATGGCCTTGCCGATGACACGGCCAACAAACTTGAAGAACGACAGGTGCTCCGGGTTGACCCATGACGCCTTGTTGGGCTGGTACGTCAGACGGTCGGCCGCACACGGCTCGAAGAGCGCATTGTTCGGGTCAAACATCTGGCGAGCGAGGATCTGGAACCACTCGCGCGTGACACCACCAGCGTCGACACCCTCTTCGTCGTAGAAGCGAACACTGAGCTTGCCGTATTTAATCTGGTCGCCGGTCTTGCGCTGGAGGTACTGGAAGCTATCCTCGAAGACGCGCTGACGCCGTACGTTGAGCTGTAGGGTGCCGAAGTGCTCGCGCGTCGGCCGTCGGTGCAGCTGCTGGCTGAAGTAGTTGCGCTTGTTGTCGAAGTCGAGCACCCGCGGGTTGTGTACAAGCAACGAGAATGACCCGCTCATGAGCGACGGGTTATTCCGGACCATAGCGTTGAGAACCTTCCTGTGCGCATCGGTGAAGGACACGAAGAGTTCCTCCATGGACTCGCGACTCGAAGAGGGAGGCAAGCTGGGCGACCGCACGGCGCGAGCCGCCGCATTCGTGGCCGAAGACGTCGAGCCCACGTATTTGCAGACGACCATGAGCGCCTCGATGAGAGGCAGAAGGACGGTAGCGATGTGCTCCATTTCCGGGCGTTCCTCTATGACAGATAGACAGTCGCCCAGCTTTTTCCAGAGCGGCGTGAAGCGGAAGGACTCGTAGATGCTCTGTATTTTGTCAACATCGGTGCTGCTTTGTGCTTCGGCAGGGGTCGTGTGCTTGGGCGAATACATGTAGTCGATCGTCTTGAGTACGCGGAGCAACTTCGCTTGGTCGGAGGATGGCGACGAGAACTTCGAAGCAACGGACGACGCCATGACGTCCGCGTCAACGCTACCGAGAGCCTTTGCAAGGTCGTCCAGGTCACGTTGAAGGCCTTGGCCAAGCTCCTGGGCCTTTACGCGTAGTTCTTGCGCCACTACCTCGCGTGCGTCCGGGATGTACGACAAGTGCTGAATGAGAGATAGGCTGTGGTGGAAGGGCTTCGCGCCACACTCGCCGACCGTGAGGATGTTGACGATAAGACGAAGAACCGCGTGCGGAATCTGGGGTGGGTTGGCGAGAAGGATCTTCTCTTCGACCGTCTTGGGCTCGTCCTTCGCGGACTCCGGCGCTGGGGCGGGCTGACTCTCTGCTATAAGAGAGGATGAGTTCTGGCTAGAAGTAGCTGTCATCTAGTCACGTACCGGGTGGAGCTTCTGACGATTCAGGCGCTGGTGCGGGCGCATCGGCATCTACAACCGGTGCTGTTGTCGTTGTCTCGGCGAGTGGTGCACTCGATGTACTTGCCACAGCAGTCTCCGGCTTCTCAGCAGCCTTCGGGTCCTTCAAGCTCTTGAGGGGTCGGGTGACGTTGTCGAGTAGGCTAACCAGGGATTCCAGAATCGAAGGTGTCTTGAGCAATGACTGGCGATCGAGAAGGTTGAGTAGCAGAACAACAGGGTATTGTGTCTGCGCCGTCGCCTTCTCTTTACCCTTGCCCTTCTTCGACGCGCCGCGGCGCAGACCGGCGGGAAGCTCATGCTCGGTAAGGAAGAAGAGCGACGAGCGTTCGTTTGCCGAGACGATGTAGGAGAGCGCCTCAAGACAGCGCTGAGCGATCAAGTCTGGTAACACCTCGCTGGGGAGCTGCGAGACGGGTAGAGAGCTGAAGTAGTCCGTGTTGGAGCGCTGCTTGCCGGCGGCCTTCGGCGTCTGCGCAGTAGGTGTCTTGGGCGGGCGGACCGTCATTTGCGCGAAACTCCTATCGATAGCTGCCAGGTCTGTCGCGCCATCCTGAAGGATGTTGAGCAAGATGTTGAAGAGCTCTGTCCGCGTCTTCGCGTTCTCGCATAGGTTCACAAGAACCTTGAAGAGCATACTCTTCTTCAAGAGCTGCGGGAAGAAGAGCAATCGTATGAGAACCGCAATGCCACTCTTGTCGAGGAGCTGGATGGCGTCGCGAGACACAGTCGGCTTGCGTGGGGCAGGAGGAGCAGCACTGCGGGGAGCGAAACGCGGCACCGGGAATGACTGGTGACGACGCTCACGGAAGCTACCGGCCTCGGCGATCATATGTGGAGGAAGGCTCTGAATGAAGCCCTCGTCCTGTTCCATGAGAACCTCTTCACGAAGCGCGGGGTCCAAGCTCGCCATGAAGGTCGCGGGGTCCATCTCGGCGGGTCCTGTATCGCCTCCAGTGGCAGGTGGTTGTTGTCTCCTTGCCTGCTCCATGCGCTCCTGCTGAATGATCTCAGCGCGAATCTCGGGTGGCAACGCGTCCAAGAACTCTGCGCTGATCTGCGAATCCGCAGGGCGCTCGACGCGGGCAGCGCGTTGATCACGGATGTGCTGGTTAACGACTTCTTCGCGCATGTCGTCCGGAAGCGCCTCGAGGAAGGTCGGGTCGATGCCGGTGTCCGTGATGTCGACGGGATTGCCGTGAATCAACACGGTCACACGCTCGGGGGCAGCGCTCGTGCTAGCTTCGCCTTGTCCTTCTGCCGACGAGCCCGCTACGGGCTCTTCGCTGGTCGACTCGGCGGGCTGTTCTTGCATCTCAACGTCCTCGGCCGACTCAGTAGTATCCGGCGCTTCGTTCGCTGCGGCTTCAGCCTCAGCAGCTCTGGCGGCGGCAGCTTCAGCCTCGGCCTTCTCGGCGGCAGCCTGCTCCTCCCGCTCCTTCGCCTCAGCTTCCTCCCTCTCCTTCTCCTCTTGCTCGCGCTGGCGTTCCCTCTCCTGCTCAGCAGCCTTGGCCTCCTCCTCAGCGCGCTTGATCGCTTCGGGGAGCAGACGCAGAACAACGTGGTTCGCGACCCTGGCGGCGCGCTCGTTCATGAACTTGCCGTTGAGGATCTTGACCTCCTCGCTCCAGCGGTTGAGCGTGACGAGCGGGTCGAAGCCGCTGTTCTCGGGCCGTTGCTCACCACCGGCGAGATTCTGTCCGCGCACGCGCAACGATGCTAACGCAGCGGCAGGACCACCGCGTCGGGAGAGCGGAAGGATGCCGTGACGGTCAAAAGCGCCAGGAGGGACGTCGACACGGATGGTCTCGCCACCTGGACGGCGGGCGAGAAGGCTGGAGAACAGCTGTACCGTGGGACCACCGACAATATCTTCGATAGCTGCAAGGATATCCTGGGGCTGTGTAGCGGCGAGAGCGTTGGCGAGCGGGTTACCGCTACGAGCGCGACGACCTGCGCGACCCTGACCATTGGCGCGATCTGCGCCATTGCCGTCGAGGAGTAGCGGATGGGTCACGATCTCCGGCGCGGACTGGTTGCCGCGTTGACGACCGAAGACCTCCATATCGTCTAGAAGTTCGTGAGTACGATTGATGAGGGACATGCCGGAACAAGGTACTGACCTCCTTCGTTAGTAACAGCCAGAGGTAGGCCGCCTGTGACGATGACGTTATGAGAGTGCGCGGGGCCTCCGATAGTGCCGACGCCGCCGACCATGTCAGCGATACGGCCGGCAAGTGCACCGTCCGCACCGCGGAAGACGTCCTCTCCACCATCGGCTGCCTCGAGGAAGCCGAGCTCGCCGTCGTCCAAGCTATCATACAGTGAGAACAAGCTTTCGTGAAGAACGCGGGACAACTTACAACTCCACATCAGAACCCATGCCGCCGTCGTCTTCGTCCTCGTCCGCAAAGATAGCTGTTGTAGCGTGAGTCTGCTGAACACAGGGCTTGCATATATCAAAGACTTACCCATGTCACCAGCACCGTCCTCCGCACCCGCGCGTTCCATGACGCCTGCGACTTCATCGCCCTCGATATCCTGCAAACGCCGTCAGCAGAGGCTTAGGGGAGAGAACAAATGCGCTTACCTCCCACTGTCCTTCCTCGTCAGATCCCTCGCCGGCGACTTCTTCACCCAGCTCAGGAGCAGCCTCGACATCATCATCTTCCTCCACAAGGTCCTCGCCTTCACCGTCCTCCTCCTCGTCCCACTCCTCTTCTTCGTCACCTGATCCCTCTTCATCATCTTCATCTTCATCATCGAGGGCCCCTTCAATCTCAACGTCGACGTCCACATCGCTCGCCTCCGTATCGTCGCTCTCCTCGCCGAAGTCCATCTCGACGTCTTCCTCGTCTTCCTCGTCTTCGTCGCCCATCTCGTCGTCGTCAGCGTACTGCTCATCGATGTCACCACCGAACCTGCAACAATATCAGTACCATGTCCCTCTGAAGATGGTTCAATACGACTTACATGCCGAGCGCCGAGTTGCGGTACAAGTCGGGAGTATCCTCGCGACCCGAACCTCCATCCTCATCGCCGTCCTCGTCATCATCCTCGTCACCGTCCTCCGACATTTCCTCGATTTCCCCAAGCGTGACCTTGCCGTCGTCGCCCTTGCCCTTGCCCGACGCGCGGCTCATCTTGATTGCGATACGCGACCTTTCATTCAGATCAGTCATTTCGTTCAGTAGTTTGCGAAACCAATGGAAAGCACGTACAAGAGCTCGAGCGGCTTAAGCACCGCCTGCACCAACCCGCGCACATTCGGGAAGTTCAAGTCAACCTCTGCAAGCGCCGCCGTGAGCGTAGCCACGAAGTTCTTCTCCAGCATGATCTTAGCGATATGCGTCGGAGGCGCCTCGTCCGCGTTCTTGCGCCCATTGGTCGCGTAGCGCACAGTAAGCAGGCGATGGCACAAGTCCGCTAGCGCCAGCATACGGCCGTACTTCGCGCCCAGGCCTTCGCGGTCGCTCGGCGCGGGCTCCTTGACAGCACGGCTGACGGACTCGAGCACGAACTTGCGTACATGCACGAGCTCGGGCGCGACGTCCTTGATATCGGGTGACGCCGTCGTGTCCACGCAGAGAGCAACAATAATCGACATAGCCCAGTTGCACAACGATACGCGTTTGCGCGCTTCAGCGTCTGCGCTCTCGGGCTGTAGCGTTCCGTACGATATCACGTCATTGAGGAGGAACTGAAGCGCATATGTCCTGAACTTGCTCGGTGCTTCGCCAGTGCGCTTCTTGGGCGAGTACGAGAGGAAGGCGACCTTGCAGACGTCGTAGGAGAAGAGAAGCTCGGCGAGACACTGCATGACGAAGCCGCAGTAGTAGAAGTCGATGTCACCCTGCTTGCTCTTGTCCGCGTCGGTAGCGTCCTTCGGCGGCTCGGTCGTGGATGGTGCGGGTTCGGCCGGAGGCTGCGAGGAAGTTGAAGGTGTAGCTGGAGGCGCTGCCGTGGGAGGTGTCTCGGTGGGTGCTTGAGGCTTGATGCTCTGCACGAGCTCGCCGACGAGGAAGTGCACAAGGGTCTCGAGGTAGTCAGGCGGTGCCGAGATGGGATTCGCGGCATCAACAGTAGGTGCAGCAATAGTCGGAGCGCTCGGCTCAGCTGCAGCAGGTGCATCCTCCGTCTTCTCCTCGCCTTCGCCTTCGCCTTCGCCCTCCTTCTCCTTCTTGACAATCAGCGCCGGACTCCCGTACGGCTTCTCCAACCTGCCCACATCCGCAGTCGCATCCAAAAACGCCTTCGGATCTCTTAACACCATCGGCAAGCACGAGCGCACATACGTCGCGACGTCGCTTGGGCGTGGGCGAGGTGCGGAGAGGAACCGATCCGTCTCCTGACGCATGATGGAGCGCAGAAGTGCGGGATCTTCGACGATGTGGCGCAGGATGATGGTGATGTACGATTGACAGCCGTTGGCGCCGCCTGATGATGCCTTGAGAGCTTTGAAGAGCAGCGGCACACCGTCGCGCCGTGCGAAGTCGTGAGCAACGGAGTGATCGCGGGTGAGTAGTACGAGCAGGCGTAGAGCCGAGATAAGATCGTCGCGAGCAAGCGAAGGTAGAGCAAGTATGCGCAGCGAAAAGTCGAACAGCCTCGGGCGCGCATTCGGGAAGTACGGTCCCGGCACGACCTCAGCCGTAGGCACAGGCTCTCCCTCTTTCGGCACCTGGGTAGTCCGCGGCTCGAGCCCGATAGTCAAGATCGACTCTGCGACGAGTAAGATAGCAGCGAGCCACTTCGGCGGTCCACGGTCCGGCTGAGAGATAGGCGCCGAAAGCACAAGCGCCACGAGCTGGTCGACAAAGGCGGTGATCTCGTCACCCTTGACAACCGCAGCGAACGACGCGGGCGCTTCGTTCAACACGAGCGCCAAAAGTCGACACCTCACAGCGAGCGGCTGCTCCTGCGAGTCGACCGCATGTGCCGCGAAAGCCCGAACATCGCGCACGAGCAAGCGGATGCTCTCCTTCTGGAAGCTTTCGGGCTTGCCAACAAAGGCCGTCTGCATGTCGAAGATGAGCGTGGGATGCGCGTCGACAAGCTTGAGCGCTGTAGCGCCGAGCTCGGCCTTGAGCGGCTCGCGAGCGGTGTTGAGCTCTTCGCGCCATTGAGCGCAAGTCTTCGTGGGCTCTGCGGGCGCCTCGGGCTCAGGTTCGGCGGCTGGCGCGGTCATAGGCTCGTCCTCATCCTGTACAGACTCGGCATCGTCGCCTTCTCCCTCGTCACCTTCGCCGTCGCCGGAACCAGTAGCAGAACCTTCGCCATCACCAGATCCCGCAGCCGATCCTGTCGCGTCTCCCTCGCCCTCTCCACCGTCATCGGCCATCTCGTGGTCCTCGTCATCCGCACCCTCCGCTGGAACGACGGGTTCAGCGTTGGGCGGCGTAGCAGGCGCCTCCGGAGCGGGCACAGCAGCAAGCGCAGGCACAACATTCGGCGGATGCGGCGCGTCCGGCTGGAACCTGAACGGATTCGCGAGCAACAACTCCGTCGCAGCGTTCACGTTGTTCGCCGTCCTCGCCAGCGCGCGTTCCGCTGCCCATCTCGGGAAACCCATCTCCTGGATCTGCGCGATGCGCGCTTCGTCGGGTACGGCCGGCTGCCTGAATAATGCCGCGGCGGGTCCACCGGGCATAGGTAGGCCGCCTGGTCCCGCGCCTCCTTCGGCGTTGGGTTGGGCGCTCTCTTCGCCTTCGGCGTTCGCGATCTCTAGTACTGTCTGGGCTACCGAGCGGACGAGACCTGCGGGAGCGGCTGAAAGCCAGGGTGCTGTCCAAAGTTCGCGAGCCAATGGGAGTACGGCAAGGCGCATGCGGACAAGGAAGTTGTGCGGCTCGAAATAACCCGCGTCGCCGTCCTTCTTGTCGCGCGTAATGAGCAGGCCCGTTTGCGGGCTCTCGAACACCGGCTTCGTGGAGACGACAGGATGGAGTAGGTGCAGCGCGATCTTCAATCCACCGTACGCGCTACCGAGCTCAGTAGACTGCTCAGCCGAGCGTGATTCGACTGCGATTGGAGAGAGCTCCTCGACGACGGAGATGAAGTGTCGGCATATGTTGAGCAACGCATCGAATCCGCCGTCCTTGTAGAACGTGTTGAGGAGCACAGTGTACAGCGTCATGGCGTTCGAGCGCTCTTCGATTAGGAAAGTCGCGACGAGGCCGACGAGAGAAGTGTAGTACGCGGTCACGTCAAGCCGACTACCCTCTACAATCATTTGTTAGCACATACGCTTTGGTGAAGGAGACAGCAGGACGTACCGATCTTGACGGGCTGTAGATGCTGCAACAGAATGACCGACAGCCTCGCCGCCGCATCCTTAATACTCTGCTTCTGCGCCTCGTCCGGATGTCTCCTCGTCGAGAACAACTTGATGATCGCTGTGAAAGCTAGATCAGTGCTCATTCTTCACCTATGCATTCCCACATACCTTGGAAGAACGGCGTCAATGCATTCGGAATATGCACCGCGACCTGCTTAAGTGCCTTAAGCGCCGGATCCTCCTCGTCCTCCTTCTTCGTCTCCGGCGCAGGCGTCGGTGTAGGCGTAGTTTCAGCGGCAACAGGCACAGGTGTCGGACTCGTACTCCCACCCGGCGTCTCGCTCAACAGCGCCTCGTCGCTCACATGCCCATTCGTAACCGGCTCAGGAGCAGGAGTCTGCTCAGCAGTAGGCAGCTCCGTCGACGACGATGATGAGCTCGCGGCGGCAGCGGCGGCCTGTGAAACGCTCGCGACAGTCGGCGCAGCTTTCATCTGCACATTCTCCCACACGAGCGCCCGATGCAGCGCCCCAAGCTCCGGCAACACCTCCGGCGCGCCCCGGCCCATGAGAATCTGCAACAGCCCCAGCGCGCTCCGTCCATGTGCGAACCCGACGGTCGAGTACACGTCCGAGAGGAGCATAACGCGCACATGGAGCGTGACGATGCGTCTGAACGTCTCTGCCGCCTGCCGCTCGCCGTACTTGGCCGTGTCGAGGAGCTCGAGCAGCCGCGAGCCGGGCTTGAGTTCTTCCCAGAACTCCTTCGTCTCGCCCAGACTGCTCTTCACGAGCTCGCAGAGCGCGCCCATCGTCACGTTCGGGCTGGCGTCGAACATCGTCCTGACAACCTGCACTAGACTATCGCTCGCCATCGAGTTGCCAAAGTCGAACGGTAAGGCCTGCGACGCCGTGATGCGGCCGATCTGGTCGAGCGCGCCGTAGGACGTGATGAAGTCTTTGCAGTGCGGGGTGTGCTGGAAGAGACCCTCGAGGAAGCGGCAGGTGATATCAAGGAAGGAGATGACAGGGTTGTGCGACTCTTTGCCACTTCGCGACCCGTCGGCGTCGTCGTTCTTGTCCGCCTCCGGATCCGCTACGCGTGCCTCGGCGTTCTCGTCCTCCGAAGGCTCGATAACCTCCATCGCCACGTCCTCGCCCGTTCGCGCTTCAGTGTCAGCAGCAGGCGCAGGCCTGACGAACTCGTACTGATCCCGCACGTTCGCAGGTGGAACGTATCCCCTTCCCATGTCCTCGATCCGACTGAGCGTGACCCTCACAGCATCGAACACGCCAGGTCTGAGCACAGGATGATGCCTCACGAGCTCGTCGACCGCACTCCCGATGATGACCGCGTTCTCCTTGTCCTGGAGTACACGCAGATGGCGCTCAGACGTGAAGATGCTGAAGTATCCGGGGATAATGGTAGGCCGTGCCGCGAGTTGATCCGCACCAGCCTGGTTCAAGCAAAGTGCGCCAATGGCATTCGGGATGGCCTGAATGACCTCGATAACCGGTTCCAAGCCCGCCTCGACTGTCCGGTAGAACACCTCGGGCACTCCGACCTCCTGGATAACACTCAGGCTCGTCGGCTCGTTGTGGACGAACGTCGCCATGACGTTGATTGCGATGGGCAGGATATTGGGGCCGAAGAGTGAGCGGTGTTCCATGATCTTGCGGATGGAGTGAAGGAGGGACGAGTCGATGAGCCCACGAAGGCCTTCTGCTGTCCCGGAAGACTGCATCATGCGGTGCATTGAGCGAAGGATGTGTTTGAGCGCGGCCGAGCGGACTACTGGGAGCAGGCCTGGCACGAGGGCGTCAGTCTGGATATCAGGGTGGCAGAAAAATATAAAAACGTACCATAAGACCTCGGGATCTCCGAATTCTTCTCCTGATGCCCATACAACTTTATCCCCTCATCCACTTCAAACGCGATCCTCTCCACGAGAACATCCACGCCCTTGCCCGCACAAAACAGCGTGAACGCGTTCGTGAACGAGTACAGCACGTTGTCGACGAGCTGCATCGTCTTGCTGACCATCGGCAATCGTTGTGGCAGCCTGTTCTCGATGATCTGTATCAAGAGCGGTACAAGACCCGCGCCGACGATCATCCCGCCGCCTTGTGCGTGGCTGGCGAGGTAGGTGACGAAGGAGATCAACGCGTCGACGAACGCGTGGGGGAGTGTGCATGCGGGGTTGGAGACGTCTGAGACGGTCTTGCGGAGGAGGGCCATGAGCGTGCCGTGGTTGACACCGGCATTGACGGCTGTAAGCACGTCTTGAACGCGGGAGCGATACCTCGCGAGCGCATCGAGAGCGGCGATCGCGGCAGTCTGGACCAGAACGGGCACACCACGGTCAAGAGCGAGTAGCTCGGCGATATGCGGAGTGAGATCAGGCTCGTACAAGAACAGCGAGCTCGACGTCGTCGCCTCCGAATGTGTGTGCACAAATATAGACACAGCGATCAACCGCGCGGCCAGCAACTTCTCACGCTCTTGTGCGCGTTCAGAGCCAGAGAGCAGCATCTGTGCGGCGCGGATACGGCACATGAGCTCGAACTTGTCGTCGCCGGGCAGCTCGTGGCGCTCGAGTACGTCTGCGAGGACCTCCATCGTGCTCTTTGACGTCAGAGTCGCAGCGTCGATATGAATAGTCGTCGCGCCCGAGGACGGCGGTGGCTGAGTCGAAGAACCGGCCGTATTCCGGCGGACGGGCGTCTTGGGGACCTCAGCAGGCGCCGGGGCGGTGTTCTCCGAATCGACGTCCATGCTGCTAGACGGCTCCTTGGGCGGCTCGGACTTGGTGGCCGACTTGTAGAATGTGAAGTTGACTTCGCGCGCCTCTGCGGGCAACTGGTCGATCTGCTCAATGCCGCCTTGGGTCACGAGGTCAATCGGGTTGAGACCGTACTCGCGTAGGTGGGACCAGCGCTTGGCGAGGGAGAGAAGACGGGGCGTCGAAATGCTAAGCGCCCGGCTGACGGCTGGCTGGGCAGAGTATTGCTGGGCGGGTCGGAGGAGTAGATTAAGAGCGAGCACGAGCACGTCGAGGTCGGATGTTGCGAAAAGCGAGTTGATGCGCTATACAAATAGTCAATATACGCCACAGATATAATTGACGGTTTATGCTCACGTCATAAGACGCAAAGGTCTTCCTATTCGTAGAGTTCTCGAGCAACAGCCGCTCGAACCGCAATATTTCGCTGACGGTCCGCTTGGCGGATGGCGTAAAAGGCGAGAGCTGGAGGTCGTCGACGGCGTAGGCGCGGATCACGTCTTCGAGCACGGCGTCGAGCTTGTTGAGCACGGGCACCCACGCGTTGAGGTCGGACCGGGGCCAGCGCCAGTACTCGATCGCGCCCAGCACATCCGCCAGCTCGTCGTCGGCCGTGTCGAGCAGGGTCTGGATCAGCTCCGCCACCTGCGGCAGCTGTCCGATCGCAACCTCAGCCTTTCTCTCCCAATAAATAAAAAACAAAGAACTCTTACCGGCGGCAGGGCGCGCTTTGACTTGTGTGCGATCTTCATCTTCGCACGTCACGCGCGTCTTTATTTGTAGAGTTTAATCTCGTGCTCCTCCGTCTCAGGTTCGTGTGGTTGTGTGAGACGGGGAGGAGGAGGTGAGAGATGCTGGGAATGCGAAGGACGCGACGAGAAGGTGACGCGCGTCCAAAGACTCAGCCAGACGCGTAGCTTTCCCACGCAATGACGGAACACCAGCGCTTGCCCTTCGACTCGTCCTCCTACATCTCGTGACTGATACGGCGTCCGAAACATATGAACTCTGACTAGTGTGCGCTAATGATTGTGCAAGCACTGTCACGATCCACATACACGCAGCTCTTCAACTACTCAAGCGCCCGATCTGGATATTGAGACATATCAACATCTACCCTACTCATACACGCGACTAGAATTACATCCTACACTACAAATACGCAATGTCCTTCGAGAGCCCAATATAAAACGAATCTCAAACCAACATCTCATACATCATACTCGACATATCAAACCGCCATTCCCCTCTCCTCATCCTCGAAATCCCTCAACACAAGCACCGGCGTCCGGCTTCGTGGCCTCCACCTCCACCCCTCCCTCACCCTCGGCAAACTACTAATAACATCCCCATCTTCGTCCTCCCTAAACGCGCTCGCCGTGCTATACACGCTAGCACTATCCGCAACGCTCATCGCGCTCGGCGTTCCCGCCGCTCTTCGTAACGACGCGGAAGGCGAGAGGACATTCAAGTTGCGCGAGCGGCGGGAGGAGTTCGAGCGCCGTGGTGGGACGGGTGTAAGGTGTGGACTGCGGTCGAAGGAGGGACGGGATGAAGTTGATGATCGCGTGCGTTGAGCTGGTGGTTGGGATGTGGAGAGGAGGATGGGCGCGGGCGCGGTGATGTGCGCTCTGGGCGGCATGAGCGGCCCGAGCTTCTCCGCGAGCGCAGAGTTGGAGAACGCGCTCGACGGGCGCGTGCTGGTGCTGCTGTTGCCGGTGCCGGGTCGGCGCTTGGTGTCGCTATGCACGGACGTCCGCAGGTGGAGCGCGTTGGTGGGTGGTGGGGAGGGCGCGCGGGTGTGGGTGTTGCGCCTGCGGTAGTGTCGAACGAGGAGCCATGTGAAGAGGATGAGGAGGTTGGCGACGACGACGCCGATGACTACGACTACGACGATGAATGCCGTTGAGTGGACGGCCAGATCCCGACGAGAGAGTGTAGTGGCCTGCATATACGCTATCAGTCACCTCTAGCATGCGCATATAGCCTCGGTCCACTCACCATAGCCTACAAGTACAGACAAAGTTCAAGCGCCCGGGGAAACACGATAGCACTACCTTTACATAGTACCCACCCCATACATATACCTCCCACCCGCCCTCAAAAGCCGAACCGCACGTCCATACGTCCCGACGCAGCAACTATCATACACCCGAACCCGGACCTGACCTCCTTCCATAAGTAGCTACCCCACCCACGCACAGTCTCGACATTCGAGACGTTTCCAATCATACCCCTTCGTATAGGCACATGCGACAGGCTGCTATATCAACCCGCATCAGCAGTGGGACAGGCGCCGCTCGCATGACATCGCGATGGGAGGAAGAGCGTCCACACGGAGTTCGCATGCGCAGCAATACTTGGATGTACTCGTTGCGCGTGCTTGCTAGGATCACGTCTGTACGGCCTAGATAGCGACCCTCGCGCCCTCTGCATCCAGTACGCGTCGAGCTGAGTCGTAGAACCTAGAGCTCTACACCCATCCGCTGAGAGACGCGCGCTCCCACTGACAGCGCTGATCTCACTCGCTGAAACGCCTTGAACTCAGGCTCGGCCGCTCGGACGTCCACGTCAAGCTCAAGCTGACACAAAGCGCGTAAATGCGCGCTCTTCGCTGTGCGAAAGTGCACATCGAGTACACGCATATAGCAAAGCATACAGATCTGGCCGGTACATGAAACGCGCACGCCCGAGCCATGAGAGATCCGATATCAACGTCAAGCGTCAACAGCTGCCCGTCCGCTGCTGACTTGCCTCAAAGTCAGAGCTAGAGCTGCGGTGACTTGAGATACTCCCGCGAGACGCCGGCAAGCGCGATGGACGGACTTGCCGGTGGCCTACTTGCTGCAGCAGACATTGTAAGCGCAGTCCAGTCGTAATGGGATGGTCGTTGGTAAGGCGCGGCACCGAAAAGGCGAGGCTGAATGGAGTGCGACTCGCGAGTGCGAGAAAAACAAGAATGACATGACGCGCGACGGAAGTTGGAAGATCCATGATTCGCACGATCACTCGAATTGTCGACGACTGGAGCACTTCTTGGTATGGACGTCGGGTTCGCCGGGCAGAGCGACGACGGCGTGTATGGATGCGCGAAGCAGGAGGAGACTTAGGAGTGAGAGTTGAATGGATACAGCGGTGTGAAGTACAACAGGAAAACGTGGTGTGGTGATACAAGAACGAACGGGGAAGCCGGTCACCGATGCAGAACGACAAAATAAGAATACACGGGTAAGGGAGCGTCATCATACATTCGACGGCTCGTCGTCACCCGGGATGTAGGGTGTGACTCTCAATGGACAACGGCTGCCCTCCTCGAATTTGCCACGAACGTATGGGCGGATGAGCACGCTATCAACGTGTATCAGCACAGCGGTATGCAGGGCACAGGGTGAGTTGGACGTACACGTTGGCTTTCACGACCTTCTGCTCGGCTTCCGCGAACGTGAAGTTGCAGAGGAGGGTGTAGAGGAAGGTCTTCATCTCGATCATCGAGAACCGCTGGCCAATGCATGACTGGGAGCATAACGTCAGTTAGACTACAGTGGCGCAAATGCGGAAGACTCACGCGAGGGCCACCGGAGAACGTCAAGGTATTGGAATATAGACCGGGAAGCTCAGACACGGCTTCGGGTAGGTTATCCCATCGGTCAGGGCTGATGCTCGCTTCAGTGATGAAAAGAGGAGAGAACATAGATGACGCGTACATGAATTTCCAAGCGTCCGGACCCCAGTATCCTCTATCGAGGTTCATCCCCTCAACGGGAACATGCACAATAGTCCCTTTCTTAATGGTTACGCCATCGTGCATCCTGCCATCGCGACCCTCATACGGCTTGCTGACAGGCATATAGTCGTCCTCCGTCGCAACGCGTAAAGTAGAATGCACGGGAGTGATCAACCGTAGGCTCTCACGGCATACTTTGTCAAGGTCCGGTAGTTTCTCGATCTCTTTCCATAGCTCATGCACGCCTTCGTCGTCCAGTACCGCCGGCCTGGTAACGCCTCTCAACTCCCTCCTCAAGCGTGTCTGCCATTCGGGATGCTTCGCCAGCAGCACCAATGTCCACGTGAGCGCGAGTGAGGTCGTATCGGAGCCGGCAAACATGAACGTGTTGATGCTGTTCAGCATGTCGTCGTCCGTCATGCGCTGGTCGGGCGAGAGATCGGTGGAAGCGTTCGAGCGGAGCATGAGGGTAAGAAGATCTTTGCGCTCGTAAGGCACACCACTCGCGGCAGCTTCTTCAATACGTGCTTTCTTGTCTGCGATGAGTTTGCGCGCGACGCGGTAGATCACTTCGTGAGACGAGGTGATGACGCGGGTGTAGTCGTCCGGCTACGAGCAGACACGTTTCATCAATACGAATTGCAACGACGTGTTCGAGAAGATGGACATACGAATATCCAGTTCAGAAACGGGAGGATGACCTTGATGAGGGACCTCGACCGTTGACTTTGTGCGACGCCAATCTCGAACATATCCCGGTACGCAACGAACAACTCGTCCCTCTCATGCTGAATAGCATTGAAATGATAGTCGAACCCCGCCAGTCCGATGACGTCAAACGTAGCCCGGCTCATCCAGTTGACGATATCGAGTACAATGCCCCGCTCCTTCTTCTCGCTCTTGACCTCCGCTTCACCCGCGAGCGTAAGCCATCGATCCTTCATCCTCTCGCTCAGTCCGAAGACGAGCGGTACAAGCGCGCGGAGGTTCTGTACGCCAAAGGCCGGTGCAGCAACGCGTCTTTGCCGACGGTGAACGGCGCCTTCGGCTGAGAGCATGCCGAGGCCGATGAACCGGGTGATGATCTCGCGAGAGATCTCAGGCTTCTCGTATTGTTCGGGGTGCTTCATGACGTGCGCGAGTGTTACGGGGTCGAGAGGGAGAAGACGGCGGTCGCCTGGGTGGAGGCCTTGGATGCAGGTATTGCGGCCATAGTCGCGGATGAAGCGTTCGTGGACGACGGGTGAGTGTGCGGGGCTGGTAGTGTAGATATTAAGTAGGGGTATGTCAATAGAGTGCAAGGTGACTCACTGGAGTACTTGTTGTAAATGACCTCCTATGAGATGCGCGCCAGACGGTCGCTTCAGCTCAGGCAGTACATCGGGCACAAGCAAGGGTACAGCAAAATACGACGCGACAGCCAGAAGCGAGAGTGCACCGAGAGCAACAGGCAATCGGCGCATAGCCTCTTCCAAAAGTTCGTGCGCCATCATGACGGGTGAGAGTGACAGGCAGAAGCAAACCCCTCAGACAAGACTATAAGGGCTTCCATATTATTTGTGTGGTACAGAAACCGGGGTTGGGATGATGGTGCAGAACAATAGGACGCGGAAGAAAGGGCCGCGCGCCGGAAATGTCTCACGCGTGTCCGGACGCGCTTCAGCCTCGACGCGTCGCGACGCGTCTTGACCGCGACCTGCATTGTACGCGCGCCATGGCTCCGAAACGCAAGGCGGTGGCTGCCAGCGACGAGGAATCGGAAGAAGAGCCAATTGTACGCGTCTTTCTCTTTTGGAATATACTGTATACTGATATACGTGCAGAAGAAACCCGCGCGCACAAAGCAGACTGCGAAGAGGAGCCCCGCGAAACCCGCTCGCGGCGATGACTCTTCCGAGGACGACGTGCCACTCTCCAAACCAAAGGCGAAAGCCGCGAAGCCCGTGACCGCAAAGAAGGTGCGTACAAAGTCTCTACTCTGTATAGTGTGGACGCGATCTCTCAACTTGACCGCACAGCCGCGTATTGGTGGCGCTCCTGCCTCTACCTCCAAGAAGCCGGCGTCTAAGAAGAAGGCTCCAGTAGTTGAAGAAGAGTCAGAGCAGGAGCAGGAGCAGGAAGTAGAGGAGGAAGATGACGATGACGGGCGCCCTGGACGTATCGTCGTCCACACATCTCTAGAAGGCGACAAGTACGTCGATCTTGGCAAGAAGAAGCGCGCATCCGTGCGCGTGTTCAAAGGTGCGCAATCGTTCTCTGTCACCATCTACTTGCATGCCGAGTTTCTATCAGGAGCCGTTATGGTTGACATTCGTGAGTTCTATGGCGACGAAGACGACCTGAAGCCGGGCAAGAAAGGAATTTCTCTGGGCATTGATCAGGTATGTGTTCAATAAACTTTGGCTTAGTCTGTGGCCCGATGCTGATACACTCTCAGTGGAAGGCTCTGGTGGCGAGTGCGAATACCATCGACAAACTCGTCGACCGAAAGAAATGAACCGACTATCTACCCTATCACCACCTTCCGTAACTGTTCTGACGATACTTTTCCCGATATGTACATTACATACCCCGTTTCCGACTCATCTTGCGTAAAAAGTTGGATACCTGCTTGTTAAATACGTAGCCGACCGTTATCTTCAGAGACAAAGCCTTGAAAAGTACGCGCACTGGTTCAATACTGTGCGATGACGAAGTACGATGTAGGAACGATATTAGGTGACTGGAAGCGTCTACGCTAGTTCAAGCCCTGCAGCAGCTTTCCTTCCGCCGGACCACCCACCGCGCCATACGCCGGCCGCCCAATCCCTCGTCCGTGCCCAAGCGGCGCCAGCGTCCATAGCGAGGGCCACAGCAGCCAAAGGCAGTGCAGTCCGCTCGTACGCCCAAGCAGCCCTGAAGTATCCCCATACGACTGAAGGTGCAAGCACTCCATGCTCCTTCGCGAGAGCACCTGAATGATACTTGTCAGAATGCGCGTATATGTTTGTAGACCACACGTACCCAGAGACTTTACATCGTCCCAGAAGATCGCTCGTGCACAGAACTCTGCACCCACAAGGAACACCCGTGCGCCGTGGTGTGTGGTATGCAGCGCAGCATCCAAAGCCCGTGTGAGATCGTTCAACTTGAACACCATAAGCACCCTCCTCGGCACTCCTCGCAATACAGCCATGACATCGCTCAGCAGTCCCTGCTTGCTCGCGATAGCCCTTCTAATGCTATCCTGTTCAGCCTCGGACATCGCACCCAGCTCCGTCAAGGACGACTTGCGCTCGAAGTCCGGTCGTGCAGTATCCTCTGGTCCACCTGAGCCCTCCATGTTTGCCCGTCCGGTCAACGCAGTCTCGAAAACGTAGTATCGCTCGGGCGAGACGTTTCCGACTTTCCACGCCAGCTCCTTGCGTAGCTCTATAACTTCTTTCGAGCCCGGCATGAGGAATGCGAGCCAGAGGCGGGCATAGTCGACGCGAAGCTGGTCCGACAAGTCGAAGTACAACCCGTGGTCAAGTAGCGAGATCTCAAAGTTGTACGGCGAGCGTGAGCCGGGTGGTGTAGGGCGGATGAGTAGATTGCCAGCGTGTGGGTCGGCGTGGAACCAGCCGTTCAAGTACACCATGCGGGAGAAGATGCGCGCAAGCTCAAGCGCCACTTTGTTTCGGTCGATATTGTGCTTTGCAAGATATTCCAGATTGTCCACTCGCGCGCCGCGCACATACTCCATGATGAGTATGCGCGGCTTTGCAGCGACAATGCTCGGGATATGCAGCGCCGTGCGGACATGGGCGAAGTCAGCCGCAGCGCGCTCGGCGTTACGCGCTTCGTGCGCAAAGTCCATCTCCTTGGGCAAGTTCTCGCGCATCTCCTCGCCGAGCCATGTGAGCTCAAATGCGGGAAAGAAGCGCTTCACAGCGCCCAGCGCAATCTCGACCATCTCCATGTCGACTTCGCAGAACTCTGCCAGATGCGGGTGTTGCAGTTTGACGGCGACTTCTTCGCCTGTTGCAGCCAGAGTTGCGCGGTGCACTTGTGCGAGGGATGCGACGCCAATGGGTTCCTTGTCGAATGTGGAGAAGTACTCAGATAGAGGCATGCCCATGTCGTGCTCGAACAACGCTGCTATGGCTTCGAAGTCCGTAGGATCGCATTTGTCTTGCAGCGGTCGCATGGCGGAGGTCCATTCAATGGGTAACACGATCCTATAAGCAATATAAATACAGAGTCCTTGCACTATGCAACGTGTGCATACCTACTCACAGTGAAGATACATGTTGCCCGAGTTTAATGAACACGCCGCCATTGGCAATCAAAGCCTTAAGTACGCGTTGAGCCGAGCGTGAATGGCACTCGCTCTCCGCTCTCAAGCGCGCATCCTCGTCCTCATAGTCCCGTGCATACGTGAGCTTGTAATCCACGGCGCTGCCAATCACCGCATTTGCGCACCGGGCGCATCGTACCGCCGCGAGCGCCGTATGTCGTACTGGCTGAACATATTCATAAGCAAGCCAGCCGGCGGTGATCGTCAATGCAAGCGCGGCGGGTGCGGACACCCATGGTGATGGTACGCGTCGCTTTTGACGGGCGCGGGGACGCGGGAATGCGGTGGGTATTGCTGGACGCGTCCAGCTCGTTGTGTATGCGCTCGAGGAGAAGAAGCGCGTGCGGTGGGCGCGCAAGCCGAGCATGGCGGCATGAGCGGAGGTTGTAACTTCGGGAAGGCCAGCGCGGCGAATAGAACTTGTTTGCATGAAGTCATCGCGGTTTGGCGACGGTATCTGATTAGATCTCGGCGCGGTCTTCGCAGTCGACGCGGCGGTCTCGGGCCTCTTCCTCTTGACCACCACGTCACACACTCGCTCAAATTGCAGTTGTCTCCTACTCCCAGAGTCATAACATCTCGTCAACGACCAGACGACACTCTTCCAGGAAAGATTCGACTCGGTTGTACGGTTCTTAACCGGACATTGCACATACGGATGGCGGCCTCGTTGCACGTCGCGCGAAGAATGATATGTCGAAAAGACTGTCATAAGTCTCTCCTTTACGTCCGAGGACCGAACATGACGGTACCCCCACTATGCTTATTAGTTGCACTTGTGCTGGCATATCAGTCGTTCACTCTTCTCCGGTCCTCGTACGAGTCGCTCCACGCAATGCCCGCTTGACAGGCTGCCCCAGTCCTTACCCTCCGGTGACCAGCTAGTGCCGACTAGACTACTGCGAACTGTCAAGTGGAAGTGGCTGTAGCCCATCTATGGTGCTCTGCTTAACCAATACCTTTTGAGGAATTCCGCTCAGAGCCCGCGGCATTCATCTCGACGGGCGTTAGCGCGACTCCAGAGTCTCCTGCCCACAGCGAGCCCGGTACTACACTTCGCCAGGTCCACCTATTTCCGTTATATAAAACCTGGAATAACTCTCCAGTGAAGGACATCAGCACTCATGTCCATCTTCGCCGACCGCTACGCATCTTTCTTCGATCCCTTCGCCGACGGGAACGTCGTCGAGAAGTCCGACGTCTTTCGCGACGCGCTTTCAAGCGTCCACGTCGACGCCCCACCTCCGTACCAGCCCAACTTGAAGGGTATTCTCACCGTCGTGTCAGCCGAGGCGGTCGACCACAAGTCCTCCGACGCTATCCAGTATGTCGCCACGACGGACATGGCGATCCACGGGCAAGGCACAGTCATCGCGAGCTGCACTATGCCGACCCGACTGCTCTTCACCTTCAATACCGACGGCGGCGATAGAGCGCTCTATGTCGCTGTATATGAGTCGTCGGTCGAGTTCGGCTACGGCCCCGCAGCGCCTCCTGGCAGTAATGGTTTCCTCCCTGAGCGCGTTACCATCGAAGGCAGCGTCGTTGGTGATAGTGTTGATAGCGGACTCGCTCCCACCTTCCTGCGCCCGACACTGCAGTATCCCGCCCGGTACTGGCTGTCTGTAGACCACAAGAACGGCATCTTGCGTTTCGGGCGCGATTACGCCAATCTCACTCTTACGCTGTACGCGGCGGAGCTGAAGAAGAGGGTGGACCCTGGAGTCTTGCACTGGAAAGACGACAATGTAGGTGCTCTTCCCATCTATGCCTTCGCTCGTTCTGACGGTGCCCATCCTAGTACGAGTTTATCGACAAGCTCACTACTGTCACCGTTCAGCAACTGGGCGGCGATCTTCAGTCTGTGAGCTTTCGCCGCGATATCTCGCTTTCCAATCAGCTCACGTACATGTACAGCCTCCGCTTCAGGTTGTCTACCAGCCTCTTCCCGTAGTCGAGAAGCTCCCACCCATCATCGTCCCCAACGAACGCATCACATTGGACGTTCTGGCCAAAGGCTGCGCAACAGTGCCCGCAAACCTCAGCGATGAGTGCCAGCGCCTCTACGCCAATGTTGCGGGCGCGAACATCATGCTGGACACAGCCGACTTCCCCGACTTCAGTCAGGCGATAGAACGCAGTGTCAATTCCGAAGGTCTTCTCTGCCAGAAGCTGCTCCAGAAGAAGTCCGGCGAGTTCGGAGAGGATAACTACAAGACCACGTACTTGCGCATCACGCTGGGCGCTGACCTCGGGAACTCCCCGGGTCCGCCGTACGTGCTTGAGATCTGGCCCGCTATGCATGCGTAAGTCGACATTCCAACATCTCGTTTCGATGTTTCTCACGGCTGTCGCTAGATCTCCCATCCATAATCACGGCGACTCGCACGCCGTTATCAAGGTTAGTCCTCGCATTTCTGCAGCCCAAGGGATGCATGGCTGAATCTTGTCTAGGTTCTGCACGGAAAGATCAAAGCATACTACTTCACCTCGCTTCATGACGCACATCCCATTGGCCCGCCAGCCAACCTCGAGAAGGGCGACATCACTTGGATCGACCCAGAGAACTACCAAGTCCATCAGTTGTCCAATGAGAGTACGTGACTCGTTGGTTATCAACGCTCATCGACACTTTGAGCTGACTTGTACTCTGAATAGATCGCGATGGTTCCGTCTGTTGTACCATCCAATGCTACTCGTATGTCGTCATTCTCGTCCTCTTACGCTCGCCTGTACCAACGAGACGTGCATAGATACGGCGCAAAGGATACGCGTCACTACGAGTGCTTTGATTACATCAATAAGAAGACGTCCAAGGTTATCGAGCACTTCGAGCCAAACAGGTATGTACTCTCTGACTGTCCGTCCTGGCTGTGCTGATCTCACTCTGTATCATAGTGATATGCGTTTCGACGAGTTCAAGGCCGCTCTGAAGCAGGAGTGGGAGTCTCGCTGGGACAAGCGTTACGATGGACGAGTCCAATAGATAGCGGCCATGCACCGACTCCTTGCTGAGAGAAAACGGGCAATCAGTACATATGATGATCGAGCTTCAGCGTCCCTGAGTGATGCATGTACAACACTCCCAACTATGTGCAGCGCTTTGATGGAGTGTCGAGTTTGAGTCCGACGAGTCGTTCTTCGCTCAGGCTTCTAACAACCACCCGCAGAAGAGATGATCGTACGTTTGTGCAAGTCACCGTGTCTCATATCGAGCTGAAGATCTTATGGCATCACTGTTGCTGTTTCCGGTACGCGGATAATGAAGGCTCGTCCGGAACAATGCACTTCAGATTCAATAGGCAGTTTGAGAAACACGTAATTCCCGTGCTCCAAATCTCCACGTGGATTTGACCCTCTGTTCTTGCGTGAGCCCCCCTTCGCCTTTCGCTACGGATTTTTTTCACGGATATGCTTTAAGAGGACGTACTTGGGGGTTCCGTCCACTCGAAGTACACATTCGTGCCCTGTGGCGGCAGCCAAAGCCTCATCTTGGTGGCCAAATTCACGCGTGGGTGCCACGTGAATCACGTGCTTCTCAAACTGCCTAATATCGACGCGGTCCCACTGACGCTCACTCGGCGAATTCTGCTCACTATCTCACCCAGATAATCTCGGTACTAGAATCGGAACTCGAAGGCTGTGTCTATCTTGGTGTATCTGGTTCTGTACACGTAAAATACGCGGGAAGCTATATCCTTTGGGGCTACTTAGTAACAAACATCTGCCATCCTTTCACGTGAAAAGACTGCTAGCGGGCTGCACTGCCATTGTAGACTAACACTGTGAGTAAAATGTCTGCTTTATCTGCGACGTGCCTTGTCCTTTGAATAGCGACTCTGAGTCAACAGGCTTATCGTTCGCGCGCTCACATCGCCGCGGTGCCAAGCCTAGGACAATCGCATTTGGGTTCTGTGGGTAGCAGGAGCAGGAGCCCGCCTTCTAGTGTTTGCCTCACACATGACGGACTACCATAAGTCAGCCATCCCCGTGAAGAGTGAGACTCAACGGGATCTCGTCCTTATCTCTGTCCAACGACATTATTTCTTTCATCTGTATATGTGAGAATGTTCCCCGACAAATGGACTGTCTTCGCGCAGAAGATGAACGCGCGACACACGGAGACATTGCAAATAGGGATACTGAGAAATTGCTGCTCACAAAGGCTGAACGTAGGGCCATTGAATAGAGCGACTTCGCTATTATCGCGTCCGATAGGCTACAGTGCCTGGTTGCGCTGACGTAGTGATGTGGCACTACTAACAAACACAATGGGCCGCAGCCCGGGAGCATGTTGCCGTGAAAACGTTAACTATCCCATCTAGTTCGCCTTCAAGCTCTCATATCTAGAGGTCATATATAGCTGCAGGGGAAATGTACGTACGCGAGCATTTCTTCATCCTTGATACCTCTTCCAACCCGACTCGGGCACCTATGTTTCCAATAACTTGTAACGCCCTGGGCGACATCGTCACCCTTGCTTCTCTCGTGTTCGACATCATCATCGCGCTCAATGAGACCCGTGGCTCCGCCGCTGATTACCGCATATTGGTCGGAGAGCTAAACGCCATGCACACAATGCTGACAGCAGTGGCTCGCGTTGCTCAGGATACATCGAACCACCTGCTTCGCCATGAGATCCTGAGAGAAGTTGACCGCTGCGGTGCAGATGTGCAGAACGCCCTTGCCCGTATTGTCAAGTTCTCTGCGCTCAGTCACGCAGGTGGCGGAGGCAACTCCGCCCGCGTCTATCTTGCGCGCCAACGGTACAAGCTCGAGTGGCATTTCGTTCAACGTGGGACGATACAGACGGTTCGGGCAGAACTGCAGACGGCTACACAGCGCTTAACAGCGCTGCTTGTGATCTCCAACGCGTCCGTCCTCGTCTGTCTGATCTTCGCCCTCCGCTGACTGAAGGCACAGGGACGGGGCAACACGGTTTCGCACATCCATGTTCGATCAGTTCCGTGTCCTGGCGGAGCGGGATGCCGCGCACTTTCGTGCCATCGGGAATATCACGTCCATGTTAGGCGAGCTGAAGGTTGCCTCTCGGGGCGACCGTGCCTTTGTGGAAGAGTTATTCACGAGTGCACCTGATAGTGTAGACCGCAAGACCGTGGCAGTTGCGGTACTCTGCGTGGCGATTGGCACCGTACATGTTGCGGACCGAGGTACACAGACGGCACTTCTACTCGCCGTGATCTGTATCCTCCTATGCCCAGCCAGACAGAGGAGAGTCACGCTTGTGCACGACATCGCCTACACGGAGGCTAATGCGGTGACTCTGTTCGATGCGCTCGGGCGACGCCTAGTACTCCCCATCGAGCTCTGCACCACATACAGCGTCAGTGACCTCTAACGCTTCTTTCAGGGGCCAAAGATGCGAGTACTGACTAGGGTCTACAGTCCTTCCACGCGACCATCGTCGTCCTGTTCTTCGGATCGCCTGGCCAATATTTCGTTGAGACTCATGCATACGATGTCACAGATTTGAGCACGGCTGACCTACTTACCCCTGAGAACTGGAGTGTCGTTGTTCGTTCGGGTGTAAAGGTGGAGATGTCCATTGTCGTACAGCAGGTGAGCAGTGACCGGGAACTGATCCAATGCCCTTGTTGCGTTGGTCCTGCCTTTGAGCCCAAGCATAGGGCGGGCATGCTATGGTACGCATTGCTGCATCAGCTCAACCTATCTGCCCATTTGTCAATGCCTCTCATGTAGCACGGGGTGTGTTCGAACCTTCGAAGTCACCACGAGAGGACGGTTTTCGAGCGCGCTAGCTGTAGTCTCCGACATTACCCGCGATTCGGACGACTACGCCGAAAGCGTGAATGACTGCGGATACATGTATACTGGTACTGTGTGAGCACAGGGACAACCATCGACGATCATTCGTGGAGCGCTGACATACATGCACAGACTAGAGGTACCCGGAGTACAGCCATACGTTGGGCATCTCTGGGGCCTAATGAGTGGGGAACAAACGTCCACCCAGGATGGGAGACTCGTTGTGCACAGTGGGCCATGGCAGGCACAGATCCGCGCATTCAAGCGCATCCGCGTACTGTGCGACGACACTGTTCCCCACATTTCGTTCAGAGATCAGCGAAGCGCCCTGCATCTGGCAGCTGGAAACGGCCAGGTCAACGTAGTCGCCGAGCTTCTGGATCGCGGCGCGGACGTCGATGCTCGCGATCGGCTCGGCCATACGGCGCTCCATTATGCCGCCCACCGAGTGCAGGTCGCCGTGATGCTACTTTTGCTCGATCGAGGGGCCTCGATAGACGCCACGCCGGCGGTGAACTACTTGACACCACTCGCTTGCGTCGTCTGGCGCCGTCACCGTGCAGCCGCAAGGTTGTTGCTCGCGCTAGGCGCCATCATCACAGCACCGCACACCTCCAGAGTCGCAGTTTTTTACGCCGCCGCCTCCGTGGGCGATGTCGCTACTGCTCAGGCTATGATACGCCTTGGGGTGGATGTGAACTCGATTGACGATCTGGGCAAGAGCGCGCTACACCGTGCAGCAGGAGGTGGCAACTACAAGATGGTCGAGACGCTTCTTGAGTACGGTGTCAACGTGAATGCGCGCTCATGGAGAGGCAACACGCCGTTGGCGCTTGCGATGAGAGGCGGGTTCGTGGAAGTCGTACGCCTACTGCTTGAAGCTGGTGCAAGAATGGACACAATGCCACCCTCGTTGTTTCTGAATATGTAGTACATGTTTACATCTTTCATGACAGCTTGAAGGCGACGACTATAGCCTCAGAGGGCATGGCGCATAGGTGTTCCAGAAGGACTTGCTCGCCGAGGTGGTTGTCGTGGGCAAGTCGTGGATCATGATGCATGATCACGGACCCGGGCCGACTGCGGCACGCATCCATGCACCGAGATGTATGGGCGCCTGGCGGTGACGGTTGGTTCTCGACGGCCATGTCTGACAACGAGAAGTTCGAGGACGTGCCCGAGTTCGAGTCTCTCTCGCTCGATGAACCTCCAAAATCAGATGCCAAACCCGTACCAGAGCCTACTGCACCAAAACCAGAGACTCCGAAGCTAGCGACTGCGCCGCTGACACCCAAGAAGGTACGTACTTCTTTAACATTTAATGGATCAAACAAGGACATTGATGGAATTTGCAATTGTAACTTCTAGGTGGGATCTCTACGTGATAGGATTGCGGCTTTTGAGAATAAAGGCCCCGCGTCGCCGGGTAAAGATGAACTCAAGACGCCTCGTCCACTGTCCCCGCGGCCGCGATTGCCTTCACCGAAGAATACATTGCCAGCTACAGAAACTGTGCCTCTAACTCCACCTGCGCCTGCCACACCCACGACTATTCAGCGAGTAGCATCTCCAGAGCCTCAATCATCCGCGACCACAGCATCACCTGTAACTCCCACATCTCCGCCTCGACCACCTCCGCTTAGTCAACATAAGCCGAGTACATCCGCATCCAGTCTTGCGGCACTGCTTTCACCGACTCTGCCAACTGCCCGGCCGCTGTCACCACCCATCACAGCACGACCTCGCGACAGCGTCGCAACCGATGCTGATTTCGGTGATGTCCCGCTCGATGATCCACCAACCCCCGCGCGCTTAGATGGAGTCATGGAGGAGAGTGCAGGAGCTTTGAAAGAAGCAGAGTATGCAGGAAAGGGAGAGGTTGCTCCGGGAGAGGAAGCACAGGCATCAAAGGCGGGCAAACCTTCGATCCCGCCGGTCGATCCTGATGCGGAATCTGGGTTCGACGAGAGTTTCGCGACAGTCGCCTTGACGGAGACAAATCGCGACAGCACTCAAGCGCTCAAGTCACCCGCGGGCGAGGCGCCGGCACCCCCATGGGCTTCGTCCAAATCAGACAAGCACGATTCCACGTTCTCATTACATCGTGCAGGGATGGACGAGGTTCGCGCGGCCGCAAGTGCGCGGAGTAGCATGAGTGCAGATGGCGCTTCGGGCGCTGGGCATAAAAGGAAGGCGAGCGGACTTGGTCGGGAAGTCACAGGGGCTGAAGAAGAGTCAGGCGTAGACTGGGGTCAGTACCCATTCGCCGTATTGTGGTATCACGAAGCTCATTCGCTCTCTCTGCTTTGCCTCCAACCAGAGTACTGGGGCAACGTTGTCTCTGGTGCGCCGCTTCTACTGTGTCTTGGGCGACATGATCGTGAACGGCGCGCGCAGACTACCAAGGGTCCGCGGCGGCGGATGCATCCCGCTTGGCTGCTGAAATCGAACGCGGCATACCACCCGCTCTGCGCGGGACTGTGTGGCAGCTGATGGCAGCGTCCAAAGATCCCGCCATGGAGGCAACATATTTGTCACTGATTAAAGAGAGTTCACCTCACGAGAAGGCCATCACGCGCGATCTGGGCCGGACATTCCCTCACCACGCATTCTTCGCTGGTGCCACTGGTCTTGGACAGGAGAACCTTTTCAATGTCCTAAAGGCTTATTCGCTGCAGGATCCTGCGGTTGGATACTGCCAAGGCTTGCCGTTCGTCGCTGCGGTATTGCTGTTGAACATGCCGGACGAGGAGGCGTTTAGTTTGCTCGTCCGTTTGATGCACTCATACGACTTGCGAGGGCACTTCCTGCCAGAGATGCCCAAATTACAGCTCAGACTGTTCCAATTCGAGAGGCTCGTAGAGGAGTGTCTTCCGGTACTTCATATACACTTCTTGAGGCAGGGCGTAAAGATCAGCATGTTCTGCTCTCAGTGGTTCCTTACGCTCTTTTCATACCGGTACAGCCCTTTTCATCCCAACAGTCAGTTCCCTTCCTGACGCGCACATATCCCTAGGTTTCCGCTTGACCTGGTTTACCGAGTGTTCGACAATTGCCTAGCCTCTGGAATCGAAGCCATATTCGGCTTTGCTCTTGCGCTTCTTCAGCGCAACGAAGAACGGTTGCTACAGCTCAAATTCGACGAGCTTGTTGCATTCCTCAATACGCAAGTCATCGAGACGTACCGTGTATGTACCGTCGACTGGTCGTCTGAGATTCCCACGCTTATCGCTTACACAGGATGGCGATAATGACGACGGCAGCGCACGTTATTCGGCAGACGCGTTTGTCTCAGATGCTATGCGCACCCGCATTACACCTTTCCAGCTGGACTCCTATGCACATGAGTACGCAGAGATGGTCGCTGCGCGCGAGGCGCATGCCCGCGAGGTGGAAGCATTGCGACAGTCAAATCGCGCTTTGATGAATCAAGTCCAGAGTCTGGAGCAGAACTTGGCGAGTCTCAATGACGAGCACGTTCAAGTGCTTAACGAGCTCGTCAAGGCCAGACTTCAACATGAGGAAGTCGAGCGCGAGCTGGTCAGGTATAAGCTCTTGTACGTTCACTTCTTCCTTCCAAGAACTGTGCCCCGCTAACAAGACTAATCAGATACGCCGAGTCTGTGCATTACACCGAAGATTCGCTCTCAAGCCACCGCATGTCACGCATGAGCAACCATTCACACGTCTCAACCGGCTCTGGGCATAATCCTAGTCCCTCCCGTGGGACGAATGGCAGTCCAACTGCCAGCGCGGTGAACGGTAGCCCTAGCACCGGTAGCAAGCGCCCGAGCTTGCAGAGCATGCTCAGCGGGTTCACGAAGAGTGCATCGTCTTCATAGATTACCTGTTCCCCCCTGTTTATGTGTACTGTTTTTGTCTCCCCGCTGGCCGAGCTTCTTGGTCTTCATTGCATAGCACATACGATAATACTCGCAACGGATCTCTGCTTTGTCACTGTTCTCACCTCCTCACACCCTCTTGTCGTAGCCAGAATATCGCGCACTTAGCATTATTAGCCTCTTGCATATTCATCGATTACGAATACTTATGCCGCTGTGACCATTGTGGCCCGTACATCCGATGTAGCGCGTACTTTGATGATTCGCACAATTGGGTTCGGCCTTGGCTCGGGGGAAGAGCCCTGGTTGTTCCGGAGTTCAAGTTCGACGCGTAGCGATGCACGTCAACCTCGAACGTAGGTGCGCGCTTCCCAGTATCTGCATTGTACATCCATGTCGGACCGAACGCCAGATATTGAGCTTTCGCCAGGACTTCACATGAGGGGCTGCAAAAGGAATGGATGGATAAGCGGTGTCTGTGCTTAGGAGTAGTACTATACTGGAAATACGAAAGCGAGTGTATGTGTATGTATCCTGATCGTCCGTACTATGTAACAGAGTATAGATTAGGGAGTGTGAGCATTCCGACATTAAACTACAGTAGTTGAAGCGTTGAATTACAATTACACCGATGTGCGCGGTATCAATGAGCAAACATAACATCCATCCTCAAGCACTTGGCTGGTACAGCCAGTCACTACCACCCCAGTCCTCCGAAAAGCTTCTTTTTGAGCGGCTTGTCTGTCAGCTCGTCAGGTATGAACGACTCGAGCTCCGGCTGAGGTGAAGTCGAACCGCGCGTAGTTGTGGATGACTGACGCGACATCGCGTTGGTCCTGGGTGAGTGAGGTGGCGCGAGCTGCTCTGAACTCTTCTTCGATAGTGCCCGTGATCGCATTGGATGTCCATTGAGACCCGGGGTTGGGGGCGCTGTGAAAGAGCCTTCGTTGCTGCCCTTCCCTTGGCGTTTCGGCATTCCCGGACTAGGCAGCGACTCGAACTCTGGAGAACGAGGCGAAAGGTCCTGCGTCGGTCGCAATAGTCCGGAAATCTTATGGCGCAAGTCAGACAGCCCCGACCCCTTCGACTGAGTGCCGTCGATGGCGTTCTGAGAGCTGCCAGACGATGCGGTTGAACGGGCGCTCGCACTCCTCGTGGAGCCACGTCGTGAAATGGACTGTTCGAAGCTGGATGCCGTTGGACTGTATTCTGGGCGACCGCCTGAGATCCCGTGCTGTTGTAGGATGCGATGGACACTAGGGCGCGAAGTCTCCGTAGGGGAGAAGTTCTGGCGCGTGATAGGCGGTGTGAGCATGCTAGCCGTACCCGGTATTCTACTCGCGGCGAGCTCGGGCGGAATTGCAGGGTCGACTTTCTTCCGTGGCACGAAGTCCCAAGAAGACGTTGTAGATGATCGTGAACGCGAGCTCGCAGTGCCTGTTAGGCCACTCTCACGCGACGCGGAGTGATGTAGCCTTTGCTGAGCATTGTTGATGGCCTGCATATCGAGCGAGGATAATGCGCGAGGTCGCGACTCTGACTGAGACGACGGCTCCGGAGAATGTGAAGGTACGCCCATGTGAGCGGAAAAGGGATGAGATTCCGAAAGCGGCGACAAGGGAGAGACCCGCCTAGATCTCGACACCGGTTGATTGGGCTGAGAGGAGGATGCACGCGAGTGGTCGTTCCCGTCCGGGTGTGATGGAGGCGCCATAGGCAAGGGCTTGGAGAAGTCCGCTCCTCCCAAAGGTGAAGTGCGAGCATGATCGTACAAGCGCTGGGAGCTTGCACTATGCTGGAGAACCGGTCGATTATACAGGGGACGTTGCGATGCTTGCCCCGCAAGATTCGACAGACTCTGAGCCTTGCGAGGGCCTGGTGCCGGCTGCATGGTTGGGATAACTGGGTCCGCGTATCTGTTGTGGGTGGACGTCGGCACTTGATCATGCGTGTGGGTAGACGTTGCGGGCGCCCGCGGTAAGGGCGTCGTGTTGGGATGGAACACATTTCCGTCCGCTCGCGTTGATCGCTCGGAATTGGTCTCCACTACGCCGGGTAATATACTGAAAGGACGGGAGCTGGTGTGGGACTGGCGACTGCTGGCGTCATCTCCATCTAGGTCGAGGAAGTCGGGTAAGAGATCGTCATCGAGAGACGAGAATACGGTCATGGTTGGGCTGGGAGGCTGAGCGTACGATTCCTCCGACGCCATGCGCGTAAAGGGCTTTGAAGGATCGAAGTCGTCGTAAAGCTCATCGATATCCTCCGCGGGTAGGTGACGCCTCTCGGCGTGAAGGACATCCAATGCTGAAGTCAGATCATGGCGAATGTCTTGTCTCCCTATCTCCCCTTGAGGTTGATAGGCGGAGATCATCGAGCCGACAGGGCGTTCTGAGTGCGTGTGGCGCGAGCCAGACATCGACGGAGGTACGGTTGTTGGGGAGGGCGGCGCAGTATCTTGGCGAGATATATGCTGGTTGGAGCGCTTGTGCTGAATGAAGGGGCCAGAGCGGGATGATCTCTGAGAAGAACGGGCTGCCATCTCGAAGCCCCCTTGAGGATGAACGTCCGTATCGGAGGCATATGATGACGGGTCCCAAGGCGGCGATGTCGGATTTCGAGTTCCTACAGCAACGTTTGGCAGCTGAGGCGTAGATGGGGTTGAGCTGTATGACGATGCAGTACTACTGGTGGACGTTGTCAGACGCCCATCTTTAGAACAAAGATGTATCAATGATATCTCACCTGCTCGGGCTCATCACATGAGGGGAGACGCGAGCATTGTCCGCGTAGCTAGATGCAGCACGGCCGCGGACAAAGACCTGCGTCACGGTCGTCTCCGAGTGTAATCGTGGCCTAGCAGACGGCAAAGGCCAGTGCACATGTTGAGCAGTAGGGAGGGAGGATAGAGTGCCACGAGAAGTGGGATTGATAGGAGCAGATGGCAGAAGAATAGTCAATGATATGTAGTATCCCGTGTGAAGAGAAGGACGTACCTCTCGATGCCATCGCGCTCTGACATGGACTGCTGATCAAGATAAACCTGCTGCTCGTGTGCAAACAACCCAACACCCTGAGATCCCGGCGTAGTGGAGGCCGCGGGGGAGCCCATCTCCAGAAATGCGTCCTTCAGCGAATCATTCGCGTTGTCGTATGGCACAGAGGTTGTAGCATGGACCAAACTGGTGTCCGGAACGAGCGGAAAGTCTTCCAGTCCGTCGAGCAAGTCCTCAGACGAATCTGCAGAGCTTCATGCGCGGTCAGCATTACTCGTGTGCGCAAACGATGGGGGACTACACACAAGAGAGAGTAGGTCGAAGGGCCTTTACGAGGCGCAGAGCTTGCTGCAGCCTCAGCACTGGTGTTTCTCGACATGATTGGTAAGGATAGAAGCGAGCGCGTCGAGCGTCAAGGGCAAAGCCGTCGTGGAGATTCGCCGGCTTTAGTACAAGCGACCCAGTACAAGGGGCAAGGTTGAATGAACGGTCGGGGACGCCGAAACGCACTTAGACGGCGTTTCGACTAAGAGAGGGACTATGGGACGTGGGACGGACAAGAACAAGAGCACAAGAAGCGTCCGTTGAACGCAGTTACCGGGTGGGCGAAGGCAAAAGTGAGAACAGGGCGCATGGTTGGGAGTATATAAAAGCTACGAGTTACGATGACCTCGACGTAGGCAAGAGCCTCGGTTGCCTGGTCGCCAAGATTGATTTACCGATGTTTGCCGGCCCTTGCCGGACACGTGAAGTTCATCTTCATAAATAAGCTTCGCGTACCATCGACTTCTCCCCACCAGCGGTCCCACCACTGCATTCCACAGTGCGGAGGTTCCCCCGCCTGGTACGAGTATGGCAGCGTCCTTGTTGCCGCTGAATCGATCCTGAGCAGCATCTTGCCATATTCGGGCCCTTTGTCTCGCATTTTGAGTTGGCCTATGCACTGCTCTCGCTTTGCTCTCATCTTCTCGCGATTGCGGCTTCGGCTAACTAGCGTACGTGCCCGCGGAGCGATGCTCCGGGTTGTCCAGGCCTCGCAGGAGGGGACACCAGGCGGGTCTACGAAAACTTGGTGTGAACAGCGGCTTTACACTGGACCCGAAGCTTGATCCTCTGAGCACTTCTCCGAAAATAAGCTCGTATAGTCAGCCCTTTGATTTGCGACCGGCTCGCCTCTGAGATCTGCCAGGATTCAGAGTACGCATAAACCTGTACAACGCACATAGCACTGAGTCAAGCGAGCCGAACACCGCATCTACCGTACCCGTTCGGCTGACTTGCTCTACCTCTTCTTTCCAACATCTGCGCATTTGATATATCGATGCTGCGTACGAAGATACAATTGCATATAATTTCGACGTTCTCGTCATGATGAGATCTCTACAGCTTCTCGGACGTGCCTATATCACGGCGTTAGGCGGCATTATGAAGGCACTATACCCAATCTAAAGTCGCCGTTGCCGATTCGCCCGCCGGCTTGCACCTAAAGATGTGAGCGTGTGTCAGCTTTCCCGTCGAGTAGTCGCACCACTGTGCAGACAAGACGCGTGAAGCCTCTTATACCTATCTCCTGTACTGGAAAAGAACGTAACTCCCGAATGCGTTGGCGCTGACGAATGGCGTTGCGCCCGACCGCAGAGGGTCAGGATTGGATACCTGGATGAGGGCAACCGGACCTTTCCTCCCACGTCGGCGGCAACAGAGGCAAACGGTGCTGCTCATAGCGACTCCGGATCTCAGATACTGGGGGACTTCGGGCCTACCCTGTCACGGATCGAACGTCAAAAGAATTCGCCGTAGTGAGTGAAGCCTGTCAAGTTATGTACAAGTACTTGAGCGAGCGCAGATCATTCACAGGACGTACGTTCCCGGCCGGGCGACCTGTCAATCCCCTTGAGCGTTACAGTGCTCGGCCATACCAACGCACCCCATCGCGCCATGCTGGTGGTTGGTCTTCGTTCACTCGCAGTCGGCCGCCGGTGACGGCAGGACGACAGGACGACAGGACGAAAGCAATCGCACCGGTATCCGGGTGCGGGTAGGTGTGTATTATCATCCCCTACATTATATGACAATGTATAGTAGGCTGTAGATGTCATTCGATCATTAGCGTTTGCATTAGGACATCATGGAGATCCGCAAGGTCTACGTGCCATTATATCTATATTGGTGTTCTTATATTCGCGGTCCCAGCGACCACTGATCAGGAGGCGGGGAAGGAGTGGATTGTTCGGACTGGTGTGGATCCGTCGTGCGTTTCTCTTGCGTCGGAGTAGAGTGATGAGGCAATGGGTTGGCAGCCGATTCTGACAGACCCGATTTTTCTGTGGGCTTCGCGGTCTGCCTATAAGAAACCTTCTCCTGAAGTGCCGTCTCAATCTTCCGCCTTCGAGCCCACAGGATCTGCGCGACGAAAGAGAAGACAGCCTAGACATTGACAATGATCTCAGTCAATAGGCAGAATGTACGACGTATAGAGACGCACAAAGAGCAATATCCCGACAAGCATCTTATCCTTCCACCGCTCGTCGAACGTCACATCAATGTCCGCTTTCCGAGCCTGGCGCGCCTTCCAGATTTCAAACCCGACATCATTGTCACGCCTGTTCATAGGACCGGTAGAGGAATCATCTATAGCCATGGACGGGGTCTTTCCCCTCAGCACGTCGTATGCACGCGATACAGCCTGGAATTGGGCATGCGCCATCTCTGGAGGAAGGGAGCGAGCGACGGGAGAGTCGGGATGATACCGCCGTACGAGCTCATAGTCTGGATGCAGTGCTCAGCCCCGCAGCTCATATTGACCGGCCAGATATAGTCTCGCACATCGAGTCTTGATATCCTGCTGCGAAGCGTTGGGGGGCAAGTGGAATATCTGCCACGGTGTTGGGTTTGGACCGGCTGGGAAAGATAGCGAAAATGATGACGTCGATGCAAGTCTTCTTAGTAGAGTAGAGGAGTGTGCTCCCGTGGCTGCATATGCCCGGTGAAGTGAAGTACGCGTCCAGAGGAGACCGAAGCTCATGACGGGCGGGTCAAAGTCGCGTGTGGCTCGGCGCGTTGCGCGTCTTGATCCGACTCACCATCACGCTAAACGCATAGTTGGCGCTGCATACCAGGTTTGGACGCGCTATCTGTCCTGAGCTTGCCTCAAGTGAGAATCAAATCGTAGCTACTCTCCAATGCTCGACATAGACGATCGCAGCGGGATAGCCGCAGTTATAACGCCGACTATCCAGGGTATTGTGCCTGTAATGGAGTGGCAGATGTAGAGATCAAGGAGTTGCGCTGGGGTACTGGTGCCACATACGAAACGCTCGGCTTCCACAGTCAAACCTAGCAGTTAACGTTGACGAGCATCGACTTGAGGCGTTCATACATTATTGATGTGGAAAACGAGGAAGATTATCGATAACACTCTACTAGCGTGGAGTACTGACACTACAGCTACGGCTTGATCTTTGCCAGAAGTATACCTCCTACGTTTATGGTGGCTACTCTAACTTTCTTCCTAAGCCCAATCAATACGGCGCGGACTAGGCGCGTCGCTGATGCTCACCTTTTGAGCAGCGCTTGAACCCTCCACTTCAGCACACCCGACCCATCTGAATGCCTCCCTTGACCTTTACCGACAAGGGCATGAGCCAGATTGAGACCAATGCGTGCATTGGCACGTACCGACGATGAACCTCAAGGTCTTCTTACGAACTTTCCTCGCCCAAGTGACCTTTTGGGTCACCTTATCTTCGGCGCCCTTGACATCCAGGCCATGAAGATCGACGATCGACTTGCCATCGTTCTGAATCCCATGGCGTCTGTTTAAGACTGTGCATACGGGAAATGCATACTGCATACCTTATTCAACGCTGGAGGAGATTCATCAACGGCAACGCATCCTCATCACTCGCGTGCGTACGTACCTCGGAAGGCCACCCTATTCATCTCGACCCTCAGCCGCTCGGCTTTAGCTGTGGCCTTTTGTCCAGCATAGGTGTTGTCTCTCAGTCTCTCCATCTTATTCCTGTAAGCGATTCAGTTGGCTAACGAAGTGGCGCGGACGAGTGCATGCACCTCAACGAATCTGCCAAAGTCAATTGATCGCGTGTACTGGCGCTCGTCTCCACCAACCTCGCTGAGATACGCTGTGGAGCAGTCTGAGAGCATTGATATGGGGTACAAGCACGACACGACGCCAAGGATATAGCCGGGCAGGTCGTTGCGCGGGTACGGGTTAGAAGGTAAGACATTGCATGTAGTTGCTCTTCCTGCTGTGCCCATCTCGTCCGAATATATGGCACGGAGGACGTGTTCGTCATACCTTCCTGCATCGGCGCAACGTACGGCGATGGATAGGGAGGGTAGCTCCAGCACTGAAACAGCAACCGTTGACGGAGTCAAAGCCCAAAGAGGGATAAGGAAGCTATCCATACCAGGCCTCGTTTTGTAGCCTTTCTTGTGATGGAGTGCGTATCCCGGTGAGAGCAGTCAGACATAGTCATTCGCACCCGTGTTGCATCTGAAGAGCTTCAGATGACGCAGAAGTGCTGTGGATTCGCGCTCGACGCGCTTCTCAGACGCGTCGCGTCAAAGCACCTGACCGCGAGCATCACCACGTGTTGTAGATCTTCTCTCAAGCGCCCGAATCGAGCAAGAGGTGAGGGGACGGCATATGATCATAAACGCATGTGTGAACCGAGTACCCTACGTATGCAGTCGTTTTGGAAGTACAACAGAGAGCGAGATGTGGAAGAGAAAGCAACGAGAAGGGCGTCTAGTACGCCTTCTTGGCGGCGAGCTGCAGGTGAGCGGAGTGCTCGTCGTAGGGGAATTTTGACACCGGAATCTCGCGCCAGAGGTCGGGGGTGAGGAAGGCGTAGGTCTTCGTGATCTGGAAAGAGATGTAAGTCAACTGTGAGAGTACTGAGAGTGATTACACGTACGGCAGCGAAGGTTGCCTTCAAGAAGTTACCCATCGTCGCGGTCGAACCCTTCGACTGGGTGTAGACGTCTGTGACACCGGCAAGCTGGAGCAGGCGCTTGGATGCGGGTGCGGCGACAATACCGGTACCACGGGGTGCGGGGATGAGACGGCACATGACCGAGCCGACCTTTCCGGAGACCTTCGAGGGCACAGTGTGGGGTGCACCGAGAGCGGCGCCCCAGTAACCACGGCGAACGGGGATGACGGAGAGCTTGGCGAGGATGATGGCGCCACGAATGGCCGTTGCGACTTCCTTCGCGCACTTGACGCCGAGACCGACGTGGCCGTCAAAGTCACCGATGGCGACGAAGGCCTTGAAGCGGGTGCGCTGGCCAGCACGTGTCTGCTTCTGGACGGGCATGATCTTCATCACCTCGTCCTTCAGGCCGGGCAGGAAAAAGTCCACAATCTGGTACTCCTTCACCGGCAGCGAGAACAGGTAGATCTCCTCCATAGACTTGATCTTGCCGTCCTTCACCAAGCGGCCGAGCTTCGTGACCGGGACCCTGCGCAGATCGTCAATATCCCCGCCTGCGATTATAATATCCACCGAAATACGCACCACTCCTTCTCCTCGTCCTTGCGACCGCGCCCACGGCCACGGCCACGTCCACGGCCCCTGTCACCGCCGCGACCCCTGCCAAATCCACCGCGTCCGCGACCACCAGCGTCAGCCATGATTGTGTGCTGAAAGAGAGAGGGTTACTGCAAATCTCAAGTCAGCGATCCGCATGTCATCCGCGCGAGACCCCGCCAATCCATCGCTTTCAGCCATCCAAACGCACTCCAGCGGCGTCCATGGCTCTAGGGACGTATCGTACGGACAGCATGAGACTCACGTTTTGAGATCTGGGGAGCGGGCGAGCGTGCTGGAGGTCGTCTGGCGCGATGAGCTCTGCCTCAGGCGGGGCGAGTCGCAGCGTGGGAATGCTCGGGCCGCGCGCGCCGGAGTTGCCTTGCTCGCACCGCACTGTCTCTCGCGCGTGTTCTACCTGGATCTGACCTATAGATTCAAATACTTTGTGTATCCTTACAAACTTAGTGATAATGACGGAGCATCTAAGCCATTTTCAATGACGCCAAGGTTGAGAATGAGGGGTAGTGACCATAAGTACAAGTTCACAAATATTGGCACGAGCGTCTCGCCGGAAACCCCGCGATTTCCTGATCAGGCATTGCGAAACCTGGCGGCCTTGCTAGGTGTGATAAGGTGCCCTGCGTGGTGTAGTAAGGCATGATCAGGCCTCGTAAGGCCAAACTAGGTGACCTGGGCCAGACCGGTAGACAACCTCTCTGGAGGCTGTATAGCGGGTGGGGCGGGGTGGTGAGAGTCGGCGCGCACACCGAGCGCCGCGGTGGCAGCCCTGGGAATCGCGGGAGACCATGGATTATCATCGGACAGTGAGCTGCGTGCATACTGCGAAACGAGCATTTCACTGCTGTATCCTTCGCATTTCACTGCTGTATCCTTCGCATTGAGACCTGCTATACTAGATTCATAATATGGATAATCTAATATGCTAGACCGTGAGTGCGTAGGTACATATCGCAGTCAAGACAGTCGATCGTTATGTAAAGCTTGCCTTCGGCGCGATTTGTCGGTGCACCGAAGGCCGGACAGAGAAGAGCATCGCGCTCAAGATCTGGAACCATAATGCATGGTCTACATACAGTACTCATAGTAGTATGTTTGGACTTTTGTAGGGCAGGCCCGAGTGATTGTACAGTACTGCGCTGTCGGCGAGCGGGGAGAC